ACGTTGAACAATGTATAAACGTCGAATTACGATCTCTGCCAACGTCTGAAAGGCGCTTTCAAGCACTTTTCGGTTCAGATATATTTATATATCAGGACCATACAACTGTATTTCTACATTTTCGCTCCCCCCTCTTCCCCTCTGTTCTCTTGTTCTCATTTTTGTTTCTCGAACTTTTCCAGCGGCATTTCCTTCGAAATCTTTATCGATCGTATTACAAAAAAGAAAGAACATACAAAAAAACCGAGAAAAAGGAAATAGAAAGAAAGAAAGAAAGAAAAAAAAGAGACGAAAAAAAGAAAACATCTCTGCCGATGGTTCTTAACGTTTATAATCATAGCGGACTATATTTATGTATATTTAAAAAGAAAATATATATAACTTTACCGCCCTAGACGAAGCCTGTGCCGGTACCGTAGTTCACTGAACGCTTTGTAAACGAGTTTCGTTTTGAAAATTATCTTGATCTTTTCGCTCGACGGCTAAATAAATAAATGGTTATTTGCGATAAAACGAAAGGGGTGATGTTTCAAACTTCCACGCGAAGAATCGTTCTCATTAGTGAAAATTCAAACTACCGTTGTCTTGTATCGCTCGGCGAGTCGTTTCGCGGTTTTTCTTTTAAATTGAATTTCCCGCGTGCGAGCACCGGCGCGCACCTCGAGCCACGCATCCCCCCTCCGCTTCGTTGAGTACCGGCCGCAACGGGACATTGTAAACGTCGAAGCCACGGTGAGACACAGTTGTTTTCTTTGCACGTAAATATTTCGTATCTCTGAATTATACTCGAAAAGCGAATCAAAGATTTACGATCGACCGGGGCGGAGTTTTGTGAGTGGTGTTTAAATAATTAGTAAAAACGTCGGCCATGTCGATCGGAGTACCGATAAAAGTACTCCATGAAGCGGAGGGTCACGCCATAACCTGCGAGACAAACACTGGCGAAGTGTACCGGGGCAAATTGATCGAAGCCGAGGACAACATGAATTGTCAGATGCAAAATATCACGATAACCTATAGAGACGGCCGTGAGGCTCAGCTTGAGAATGTTTATATCAGGGGATCGAAAATCAGGTTCCTCATATTACCGGACATGTTGAAGAACGCGCCGATGTTCAAAAGACCGGGCGGGAAAGGCTCCGGGACAGCCGGTCGAGGGAAATCTGCTATTTTACGTGCTCAAGGTTTGTGTACATGAAACTTTAACCCTTTGCGGATGAACGTCGATGTTTTGAGGAGATTAAGTGTACATATTTGCAACACTAAGTGAACAAATGATTTGATTACTAACAGCAGATCAGTACGTAGTTTCCCTTTGAGAATTGTCTAAGTGGATATATAATTTACCATCTGCTGATGGTTTTCTGTATTTCAAAGTCTTTGTTCGCAAAGGGTTAATGGATAGATTTCTAGGTTTCGAACAGTTCTGTTAATGATATTCAGTGAGAGCTGTATTTCTTTGTGATAGGTATGTGGTGGAAGATAGTGATCGTATATAGTAGAATGAGAGAATAATGTAGAATGGAATATTGATATTTTTGTTTGATTTGTACTAATATCATTGATTGTATTTTGTGCAGCTCGTGGGAGAGGAGGTAGAGGACAAAATCAGAGAGGTAGGGGTACAGGCTCTGCACCTTGGCTCAACCAACAAAACCAGCCGGGAGGATCACAAGTGGGAAGGGGACGCGGTTAAATCATATATATATGTATATATATATATATAAAGAACTTGATAATATAAAAACGCCATCGATATAAGCCTGTGACTATTCTTCTTACAGCGTTTATAAAGGATGTTTCTCTAAATTCCAATGACTCAGGAGTATTAATAAACCAATGGAATGACTTTTCCACATTATTTTTAAAGTAATCGCAGTTCTTTCTTTGTTAAACCTGTAGAATAATCAATAAAACGATACTAATTTTATTTTTATGCTTTTATAGATTACGAATAGAACAGCTAAAGAAGATTTTCCTAAGTATATAAGCGATAGATAAGCGTTAATGTTCTAGTAGTAAGACTCTATTTACTTTTACTTCAATTAATCATAAACTTAAGTCTCTCATTTTCGATTGATCGTGCGTTGTATGCTTGTTTTAGAATTAAAATTTAATGTAAGTAGAATTATATTTAAGAACTTGCGAGAATCGGTTTGCTGGTTGTGGTTAGTTGCCATCTAGCGGCAAACTTGAGAAACTGGCGTCTCTTCAACTGGTAGTGGTTGTGTAGTGTGGCAGAATGTCGACCCTGCGGTCAACCTCTGTTCGTCGTCAAGCGAGATAATTAGTGTTGACACGAGAATCACCAAGGATGGTGTGTATAGTTGATTATTAACCTGTTGGAAACGAGATACATACTCGTGTACTCTTGAGCTTACCTTTTTTTCCTATCGATTGACATTCATTCGTGACTGAGGGACAGAAGAAGGGACTCCAAAACGGAGCAATAATTTAGTAGTCTACAAAACAGATCGGTATGGAGAAAAATACAGGGCGGAGATACAAGGAGGAGACAACTGAGCAGTTAGTAGATTATAGTAAGAAGTATACCGAAAGAAAACCAGCTGTTCACGATCACCCGATCGAGAGCCCATCCCGCGACAGTCGATCTTGCAAAAAAGAATTTGGGGAACGCAATTCTAAGGTAGATTTGTTCGGCGATTATGCTGAAACTGACTTAGATCAACCTACAGATTACAGTCTGAGGTATGCCGAAGATGATACAGACGACGATGAAAAGCAGAGTCCTGAGTATTTTCCAGGCAGTGTACAAGAAGATACGATTAAAACGTATTGTACAGAGGGAACTCCATATGAAACACCTTTCAATTTTTCAACTGCAACATCTATGTCTGATTTACGGCTGGAGGACTCAAAGGAACCTGTAGATTCTCAGAAGAAACTGAATAAAAAGGCCCTTGACCTTGAGCGTAAAGAGGACTTATCTTTTGAACGTAATCTTTCGCTTAGATGTAACGAGAATCAGTCCCTTCTGGTCACGAAAGAATTAGAAACTTCTAAAACATCAATGACACGAAAACCCACTTGCCTTTCTCCCGAGAAGTTACTCGATTATTATCCGAGTGGAACATCCAATGTTTTCTCCCGGGCTAACTCCCTTAGTTCTCTTAGTAGCGCTGTAACTCAGAGGAACAATATTAACGGAGTTATTCCAAAAATATCTTCTATGGACTCTTCTGATAAAATTGATGGTGGTTCAGAGAAGGCGGATTGCAATGGGACAGCTACTAATGTCAATGGATTACGCATATCTAATGAAGCAGACAGTCCAACAGAAGGGAAAAATAATTCTAGAGTTGTGGATAAAGAAGGTTGATTGAAGCTATTTATTTAATACCCTTTACACGATATTCTGAAGCTTGTTTTATTTCAGGGAAAGTGGTGACCTTTAGTAGACAGGACTTCTATGCAGAGCAAACTCCTTTAATGTTTTCGCGCTGTAGTTCTCTTGGGTCTTTGAGTGGCTTTGAACAACATTCCATACACGACGATCGCAGTTCTATTATCAGCGATTTTAGGTAATAAATTGTTTCAATGAATCCATTAATGAAAACATACTATCTTTATATACACACGGTAATACACTCTTATTTCTAACAGTCGTAGGACCAGCGGTATTGTATCTCCAAGCGAATTACCGGACTCGCCGACACAGACTATTCCTCCTAGTCCGCGTAATCACAAGAGTCAGTGTACGGATTTCATAAGCAAAATACCAGAAGAAGCAGTAAGACCGTCCGTTCGACATTTATGTATGCAATGTTATTGATTGTCAGTAAAAGAGATAGCGGTAGTTAAAATACTGAGTTGTATAAATTTTAGTTGCCGTGACACTTGATGTTCCCTTATTTTACGCATTTCTCTGAATAGACGTTCTTTCCAGCGTATTCCAAGTGCCATGCTCCACGGACGAGTGTCTTCGAAGATGACATTGCTACTTTCAAAGAAGAATCAACGCCAATTGAATTCTCCACCGCGACCAGTCTCAGTTCCCTCACTATCGACGACGAGGTGAAGATTACCAACAGTTCAAAAGCATTGTCAGAAATAAAGGAAGCCACGAATGACATTGATCAAAATGCAAAAGAAGATTCATCTAAGGAAAAAGTGACTAGTACCGATGCAGAAAAAGATCAAGAGCAGGTGAGCGACGGTGACGAAGATGACGAAGACATGCTGGCTGCGTGTATCAGTATGGGCATACAAAACAATAGGTATGTCATCTTATTAAACCTATTTTTCACAGTATAATGGCCTCAGTTTCTAATACCAAACACATTGCAGGTATAGACAGTCTTTCAAAACATCTACCACTCCAAAATCCATACAACCAGAATCATCGAACATACTAATACGCTGTCAGAGGACTGCTGTCATAAACAGATTGGAACCTCGAGTTCCAGTTGCCAATGTCGAGACTCCAGTTGCCACTGCCAAAACGAACAAAACCGCCATAGAAGTGGTGGCTGCATCTGATACCGTGCATGTTTATTGTACAGAAGACACACCAGCGGATATCTCTCCTGTAGGTTCACAGTCGAATCTTTCCGCGCTGTCAATGCCAAGTGTACAAGAAGACGTTGAGAGAGTCGAGGAGGGTAAACTCTCCAGCGAGGTTGAGTGCCACAGAAACGATCTTTCAGATGAAAGTTCTAACCTATCCGGAGAAGATGAAAAGATGCTCGACGAATGTATTCAATCAGGAATACCAAAGGTAAATTTTTATCCAAAGATGCTCGGATATATCTAGAAAATTCAATGGGATTTTATTTAATCTATCTCTTAACCCATAGGTACGACAAATCACGCCACCGCCTACCAGTTGTATTCCTTTCGCGCAGAAGGTAGAGACGTTGACACAGAGATTTAACATATGCGGCACGCCGTCGTCGTCTCCAGTTGAAACTGGCAACAAGAACCCTATCCTAAGGAAATCTCTCTGTCGTTCGACTCTGCAGCACAATGATCTGTCGGACGACAGCCCCAATCATTCGGACGACGAGGCGATCCTGAGCGAATGCATAAGATCAGCGATACCCAAGGTTCTCTCTCTTAGTTTCCTCAGGAAAACGTTTAGCTATTTCTCACTGACTTCTATCGACTTCAGGTTAGACTGAACGTTTCCACGCTGATGGGACAATCGCTATCGTCGGTGGAAAAGACGAAAGCGGTGATTCCAAGGAAACCATCTTCCTCTACGTCTACGTCCACGTCGTACAGACAACGAGAGCACACGAACCGAAGCAAGCATCAACCGAAGAAACCAACGACATTCGAAGACAACTTGAGCCTCTCCGAGGAGGAGGAGGACATCATGTTGGCTCAGTGTATCAAGTCTGGCATGCCAAAGGTAATATTCTCGCGACTGAACAGGCTTCATATAAAGGCTCCGTCATTCCCTAATTTCCAGGCAGTGAACGCATCGTCCAATTCGTCTCTAATCTCCTCAAAGAAGCAGCCGGAGTACCACAAGGCTAGGCTTGCGCCTACCGGGTCGTTTTATGTAAATAAACATTACTCCCCTAGAAATGTAGCGCAGACGCAACCGGCTCATAAGCTCGAAAACGACGCGTCGACGTTCACGCTCGGCGGGCCTTCTTCCACCTCCCATTCCATCAAAGCGTCAGAGATCAGGCGTTCCATAAAGAACGCCGGGATAAATCTGTCCGAGAGAAACTCCCTGACGTACAGCAAGAAGCTTCCGTTGGATCACGAACAGAGCGTCGAGAACGGTCTGAGCGTCTCCCGTGGTCAGGTGCCCAACTGCAGATCCCCTATCTCAAATGCGACGGATAACGACGACGAGGAGATCTGTCGTGGCACGATGAAGTCGAGCATGGCGCCCTCCAGACACAGCTCGGTGAGTTCTCTCAGCGAGGAGGGCTCTCTTGGCTCTATCGAGGAGTGGGCGCTGCTAGAGCTGTGCATCGTGGCCGGTATGCCTAGGAACAAGTACCGGCTGAAGGGGATGAAGGCTGCGGAGGCCGGCAGCCACGAGGAACGCGACACGATACCCGAGGATAATTATTCTATATGTAGTTACAACTCGTACGTTTGTAAAACGTAAGGTGACCGTTATGCATTTCGGCTGAGCGTACGTTGAAAGACTGAACACGTTTTTATAGTAGCGATACCTAGCGTCGAGGGGAGAAGACACACTCTTGTTTATTTTTTTATGTAACACGTTAGCCCGACGCATACAGGGATCTCCGACGTTGGACGTAGGTTAAGATAGGATGAGACTGCACCGAGAGCTACTGTAAGCTTGTGTTGTATTTGACAATGCATCCGGCTAATTACATCGACTTTAATCATGTTAACACGTAATTTAACATACCCGGAGGATCGTCCAGTGACTATTACTCGCACTCGCTTTTAATCTATTTTTAATCATTTGGAAGCATGATCCTCCGGTTGTTTTAAATCGCTGTCCAGGTTAGCTTCTATTGTGAACGCTGGTAGAAGGTTCGAGGTCGATACTGGACAGCGTCTTAATAATATACAATATAGGATTTTACGGGGAAGGTATTCGAGGGTTCATTTTATCTGTTTATAGCACAAACTGTTAGACATGACACCGCGAGACTCGCGTGACTATATTTTACTGAAATACGTTTCTTATCGAGCGATCGTTTCCTTAGTGGTAAGTCTGCTAATTCTCCCATGCTGAATCGTTACTAATTTCTGTCGCAGCATGTGATCAGGCGAAGATGGCGCGCAGTTACAGTTGAAGAGATTATATCGCATCGCTTAGACAGCTGTCTTAGCAGCTAAGAGTTTTGTTTTAGGGAAGTTCCGAGGTATGCAAGCGAGACGCGACGGATCACGTGTCCCATGTGTATCGTGATCGCGACGCCACATTGTTACATTTATCATGACATCAATAATAAAGTTTAGACCCGCCGATTTATTGAGAAAATGAATATCAGTTGAATCGTGCGTTAAACGCTTCTTGTCTTTCAGGATGAACTAGAACAATCGACGCCCACCTCCCTCCCGCCCCTCGTTCCCTGAGTGTGTGAGTGACTGTGCGACGATGCTTGTGCCCCCCGAAGATGTACCGCAAACTCTACAGCTACAACACAATGAATCGAACCGCTGTAATTTCCCGGGCAGAAATTTATGCTCGACGATCGCTGGCCGGAGGCGCTTATTTGCGAACAGGAAATGCGACGGGGTATTCGCGGCGCACCGTTTGCCGAAGAAGATTATAGTAGTTCCCCCCGTGGGGTGTCCCGCGCGCGTTGGTCGCATGACTTCTCGAATTACTCGGGAATCCGAGGTGCAGAAAAGTCAGGGGAAGAACGGTTACACGCCTAGCTGGACTAGAACGCGTGGTTTTGTTTCGAACGATTAGAGACCGGCTTCAAGTCTCGATTGCCTGTCCATTTGACGCTAAAAGCGGACATAGTTTGGAATATTTATTTTGCAAGTATCTCAATTATCAACTACTGGGTCTTAGTTTACAATGTTTATTTTGCAAGCATTTCAATCAACGCAGTTTTGCGGAGACTAAAATTACCGGATCTTAGTTTATAATGTTTATTTTGCATTTCAATTAACGCAGTTTTGTGGAGATTAAAACTACCGGATCTTAGTTTACAATATTTATTTTAGTATTTTAAATATCAACGCACTCTTGCGAGAGATTTTCAATTAAATTCCTGTACTTGTGCATGGATGCAACATTTTCTCGCGTCAGGAATTGAATTTGAAATTTTATAATCTTCTTGGGTTTAACCAAATGGCGAAAGACTCTCGAGAGCAAAGGGTTGACACGTTCAGTGCCACGTGAACTCTGATTTCTCTAAGAAAATATTTTTAAGGGTCACATGGTCAAGAATAGTACATTACAGCAGCGAGAGCAAAGGGACTACCAAAATATATAAAAATGACCAAAGGCTTGGATATAAGTTAACCCTTTAAGGACGAACATTTTGGCAATGTCCACGTTTCAAAGACTAAGTCGTAAACACATAATTGAAAAGGGTTAACCCTTTGAACTCTGTAGGCTCCAATATTGCACAAGTTCTAATATTAAATATTTCAATGAATTCTAAGAAAACTACCTTAATATTATCAGATCTTCCAAATATACAAAGTTCGTACTCAGAACGGAATGAAAGGTCTAAGAAATGTTATTACATTGTCAATTTTCAGTAGGACTACTATCAAAATTGGTAGAAGTTGCTGACATATCACAAAACTATGTGGAGTGCTAGGGGTCAATATTTCCCTTGAAAAACCAGTACAACCCTTTGCACTCGAAAGTTTCTCGATGGAAATATTCAACATTTTCTGACGAGATACAGGTCATATTATTTGAAACCAATTTAACGATAACTCATAGATAAATTAAGCAACAGAGGTGTTTTATTTAAATATTATATATTACTGTTGAAATATTAAATATTCAACTTAGTTTTGTTGTATCGAATCACAGGACTGAGAGTCACCTCTCGAGTGCAAGGGGTTAAACGATGTGTCCGATGGCCGCGATACAGCCTCAGAATCGTCGTCGATGATTACAGACCAGGGTTGCTGGAGCATAAAAAGCGCCGCCTTTTGACCGCTACCTTGTTGCCGTTCAATGCATCGCAATGACCGTCTAGCCGGCGTCCCAGCCTATTTCCTGCGCGTATAAATCTTCGTTTACGCGGCTCAAATGGTTTACAGTGTGCCTCGACCGAAGAGGAAGACGCATGTCCTTCGGCGCACTCGCGACAGAGGACACAGATCATCGGAAAGACTCGAAGGATCATTCCTATAATTGTTCATCGACCGACAGAGTGATTCACTGGTGAAAATTACCAGCAGTCTCGAAGCGTATAAGGAACATTAATGGAACCACCGACGCGGACACGCGTGTACCAGCGCCATTTGCCGTGAAGCGATCCAAAGGACTCGATTTTATTGGAACAGGACGAGCATCGGACAACTCTCCCCGATGCAAATACACCCACGCGCGTTCTACGCGTTCCTGCTCGCGCCTGCTGTCCTCGCGTACGCCGGCTGCGACGACAGAGCGACATGGCACAACGGCTTGCGCGCGGTCTTCAAGAACTGCCCGTACGAGTCCTGGACCGACAACGGCCACGACGATTTCCTGGAGAAGTACCAGCGCTGTCTGCAGCAGCACGCGCTCGCTGCTCTCGACACGCTCCTCGCGGATGACGTTATACCTGTCGTCGATGGACTGAACCTGGTACGCTTCCAGCAGGACAGAACCAACTCTACGGACAACGAACGCGTGGACAGGTAAACCTGGGACTGGTTTCCAGATTTAAATTCGTGGAGACTGTTTACTGTATTTTTCATTGAATCTATTGATGTTTTATTGGAGACATGATTTGCAAGACTAACTTGGAAAAACTGAGATGTCCTTGATGAGGACTCTATTATGAACAGGTTGGGACTAGTCCCGTCGAGGTTCAGTTTCATGGAAACATGGTTCACTGTATTTTTCATTCAATCCATCGTTCATTTTACTGAAGACACAATTATCAAGACTAAGATATCCTTGATGACTCAATTGGAAGCTACAGCTTAGACTGATTATATTCAGGTTTAACCCTAGACAAAGGACCAAGAATTGAACTTCACTTTGAACCTGAGTAGCCTCAGTAGGCTCATCGAGGAAACGAATTAATGTGGAAATATTGGAAAGATTTCACGAGTTCTCGAGAAGTTTATAATCTTCATGCTCCAAGTCGAAGTCTCGCGGAACCTGATTTCTTATTGATTCTCCTCGGCGAAGCACTCGAAGTGTTCCAGCTACTTGTTACTATTGAATTCGCTTCTAAGTGATTGGGAACGCAAACCGGAAGTCCTTCATCCAGAAGAACAGACGATCGATTGCCCTTTGATTTATTTTGAATTATTATTAACTTGAATTTCAGCCGAGCGCACGTCGAGTTGCTTTTCCAACGGTACATTCGTTCGGTTTCATTTCAATTGGAATTGTTCGGAGTGGTTTCCTGAATTAAAGGACGTTACGCCGGGTCACCGAGGCTGCCGGTAGGTGCGCAGCAGCACAACGATTCAGCCGCGGCTCCGTTTCGCTCTATTTCATGCTGGACAGGAAAAATATCGGAGCCCCGATGGAACAGCCATGGCGTTTTAACGGAGACAAATCTCAAGTCACGCGATCTGTCGTCGCGAAAAGATAGATTAGCTGGACAGCCTGTAGAAACTCGAGAACTTCGTCGAATCTTTCCAACATAGATGCAGGATCATTAGAATAGCTTTGAATTACTGCGTTCAAAAGTTCAGATCGTTCTTGGAACTTTTCTTGCATAATAAATACTGAGGACTTTGTGTTATTATTATGTAATGACACATTGCATGAGAGGATACTGTCAACAGCATTCTTTATACATATTCTTTTAGAAACAGATAATTCAGTGTGTTCAAAAGTTTAAAAAAAATACTTGTTTCTTCTAATAATCTAATATATAGTATTCAACATATTACTGATATTATTAAAAAATCAACACCATTATACATATTCTTTTATAAACTGATAATTCAGAATATTCAAAGATTTTGAAATTAAACAAAGAACAATGCTTGTTTCCTATTATAATAACAATTCAATGTACACCATTCAACGTACTACACTCAGTATTTTATAACAATATGGTCTCAACTCCAAAAACAATCAAGAACTTTTGAACGCCACTGTACACACACTTCTGCTAGACATTCCAGTGTTGCACTTGTTATGGTACACCGTAAAACGGTGAAATTTCCAAACGATTTAGAAAATGCTCGTACTAACTGAAACGTGTCTGTCGTAGCGAGCTGGAAGAGGACACACACTGGACGGCGATAATCGTGAAACGATTACGGCGCGTTTTACGCACCCATGTCTTCCAGGTGGACGTCGACCATCTGATCAACAACGCCTCCTCGCTGAACAACTCCGAGGCGGAAGGGAACAGCGTGTCCGAAGGTTGGTCCCGTTGGATTCTCACCTGGGAACTCTGTGACTCCCAAAAGCGGTGTCCAAACTTTATACCACCACGCTTCCTTAAAAACAATTGTTTTCCCACTCAGTAGTTCTCACTAGAAATATTTTACAATTCTTTGACGAGGTACAGACGATATCTTGTGAAATCAACTCTATTTTATTTCAATATTTTCCAAATTGATGTACTATTTGTAGTATAATATTAAATATCAAATTTTATGGTTTTACTCTTTAAAATGAAGTGAGAGTCAAAGGGTTAATGGATATAATTTTGTAAACTTTATCACAAAATAAATTTATGTGTCTATATTATTATATCCATTAACCCTTTGACTCTCATTTCACTTTAAACAATAAAACTATTTAATTTGATATAATACATCAATTTGAAAAATATTGAAATAGAGTTAATTTTGTGATAAACATTATAAACGTTACTTCACTGAATTTCTACTGTTATAATTTCTATATGGCATGAATATTAATTGTCTATTTAATATTTTTTTTAGGTCGCAGACGTCGCAACAGGAACAAGTACAACCACATGGTGCCTTTGATGATGCTAGGCTTCGTGCTGATGGGTTCCATCCTCATCCCCATGGGTTTCCAATTCTTAGCGGTCCTCGGTGGCAAGGCGTTACTTCTAGCCAAGATGGCTCTGATACTGACCAGCATACAGGGCTTAAAGAAAATAGCGACGAACGGCGTGAACTACGGATTGTACCACACGCCCGTGGACCACGGCTGGCACGACAGAAGCAACGTGGAGCAGAACCCACATTTAGAGCAGTTGCCTTACCCTCTGCACTTCCGTCCTTGACTCGAAGCTTCCTGTCGAAAACGCTCGTCGCGAAATGAATTCTTGTGGATCTCTATGCGAATGATCGTGTCCCTTAGAAAGTCAGAACAAAGGGAACTGCTAAACTTAACCCCTTGTCTTAGAATATCTTGTCAGACACTAGGTTTCAACTATGTTTTCACAAACAAATGTCATTGAGTTCAATTCAAATGAAAATAGAAAGATGTTTTCTTTTACTAGTGTATTATAAATGAAACATCTTGTTAGCAATTTATTTGTACTAAATCTAGACATAGAAAGATGTTCTCTTTTGCTAATGTATTATACATGAAACATCTTGTTAGCAATTTATGTGTACTAAATTTAGACATAGAAAGATGTTTTCTTTTACTAGTGTATTATAAATGAAACATCGTTCTTGTTAGCAATTTATATGTACTGAATCTAGACACAGAAAGATGTTTTCTTTTACTAGTGTATCATTCATGATAAACAGTTTTAACAAATGTACCTACAAAAAGAAATCATAAGGCAAGGGATTAAATTGAATCGAAGAAATCAGCTTGGAATCTTTTTGTGTGGCTTTATTATGGAATATGAAACTATTTTCTTAAACGTCGAAGCGTGCAGAATAACTTCTTTGTTAATTAGCGGAATTATGGAGCTCTCTGCGCAGCATTGAACAATACAGTCACACCTGTTGTAGATGGAATTCTGCAGCCCTTGTCGAGTCTCTTTCCGACGAGATTCACTTTTCACGCGGAGATGAAATTGATTTTGTTAGAAACTCCGGAGAACTAGGTTTAAGGTGTACTTGGACGTGTCTAAATATAATGTTACGTTGGAAAGGAATGTCCTGGCGGACCTTGGTACTCTGCGACAACCACCTGTCCTTTCTTTCCTTGTGTGCTAACTTATTTCTGACAGTTTCATTGTCTCGCGAAACGAGTGAACTTCGCGGAGAATTAGTACACACGTAACACGGTGCAATTAGATTAGAGAAACACGACAACGTTCACGGTTTGTTTGATTTATGCGTGTCAGTAGCCTCTCCAGAGGAAATCAGTAGTATGCGACAGCCTATGGCCAGACAGCTGTGATAACACAGGCTGCCAGCGAGTCAGTGGAAAGGGAATGGACGAGAGACATTGGACTCGAGATTGCATTGTAGAAGACGACGCTCTAAGGTCGAAGTTTGCTTTCGTTTGCTGGAAAAACTGCGTCACTATTGAAAATTATCAACGCTGAGACACCTTTTGAAGTTTCAACTTAAAATTATTCTCTCAGTTTAATCGTTTGTCAATTAAATCTTGGATATTTCCTATAGATAATCTATTCGTTAAAAATCGAGAAGGACGACTAAACTAGGAGAATAATTATAAGATAAAATTACAGAAGGCCATTTGACAACTATTGAAAATTATCAACACTAAGACACCTTTTGAGGTTTCAACATTGTCTACAGGAAGTATTCAAAATCCAATTGACAAACGATTAAACTGAGAAAATAATTTTAAGATAAAATTAAGAAGGCCATTTGACAACTGTAGAAATAGTGTTCAACTTTTCCATCGAATAAGCGTCAGAAGTGACCACTCGACATTCTGTATCCAAGAAGATGGAAATAAAACGGTAACAATGGTAAAACAATGCTACATTGGTTGGAATATATTTAAATACAAATAGTTGACGAATGGCAATGTTTCAGAATCGAAGAGCACCAAGATAGTTGCAACTCTAGCAAGTGTACGAGGCAGCCACCGATATTTCCAGCTACAAATCTTTTTGAGAAGGATATTTCAGTGTATTCGAAGGAAACGGTAACTGAAAGTTGGAACGGCGAGCTGTAAACGCTAAGGGACGTTTTACTTGATCAAACAATCGACGGCAAAACGATCGTGCTGGATGGTTCCATCGTGGGACGTCGTCGCAAATCTCGCGGACGTGATTTAATAAAATTCAGAAGCGTCCCGGTGAATAATTCAGTTCTCCGTTCCATTGAACGCGTCCGATCTATTCGCGTGTAACGAACGGTCCCCGCCGGCCGCTTTGTATAATCGATATCCTTCGCAAATACGCTGAGCGGCGGCATTTTTATTTATGGCCAATTAAAATATTTATCGTTTAATGCTTCGACGCTCTCCTTTTATCTCGTCGACGTTACCAACGCTGTTCTCGTTGCGTCTACTAGGATTCAGCGACATTTCTAGTAATGCTTAAATTCCACAATTTCCGGTCCCGGCAGTGGAATTTAAGGAATTCAATCTCGAATATAGTGCCAGTGAATCGCTGGGATCGCGCTGATTCAAACGAGTCCAAACACGATGGGAATCGGACTAGTTTCAGTAATTAATGAGGACTTCCTGTAATTAACGTAATTAAACGCTACCGAATCGGTGAAACCAAACCGATTCACGTCGTATTTGGACTCGTTTTAATTAGAAGAATCTCAACAATCCACTGGCATTGTGTTTGAGGAAGTGAGATTGAAATCAATGACATTGATGACTTTACCGCTTGTTTATGTTCCAAGCGTTCGGCGTCGCTTTGAAGTCCCGCTCGACCTTCTATGTCCGAAGGACTGCGTTTATCTTGTTTCTGGTCATTATATTCATTTTCTGTCACTGTTTACTGGGATCAAGTTACACTGAGCTCGAGACAGTGAGCAGTGGGAGAAGTGTAGGGCTAGTGCCATGGAATTCAACGCGCAGATTGCTGTGGTGCTTAACACTGGAACCACCGATCGCTTAAACTGACTTTTACTAATCTCTTTATAGAAACCATAAGCGTGCTAAGATTTCAATTGACTTGTATTTCAGTTTTACTATTACTGAATTAGTTTCTGTATTACTGAATTACTTTTCAGTGATTGAAAAAGAGGAATCAGAAATAAGTCATTTTGATCTGGTATTTCCAGTGTTGAGCGATCCTCGCTTAGGACAGAGTCCAGAATAAGTGTAAATCTAGTGTTAATTGTTGTTTGTCCTTTAAGTTAAGAAGAAAACTGACAGAAGAGATTCGACGTACAGGGATGCGTGGCTTGTTTCGTCCAAAGTGAGTTGAACTTAATAACCATTGTTATTCGTGAACGTTGTGCGAGCGGATCCAACAGCGATAAATATTTCCAGGGCTGCACTCGAACATCCGGCGGGAGCTTAAAGGATAATCCAGAGAAAAGAGGAGACGTAGAAAGTTTAAGGCCCGAGGAAACGTTGATGTATAATATGTGGACATTGAGACTAATCTGAAGATGGACTCTCGAGGACTCGACGCTGAGTCAGACTCCGGTGGCAAGATCAGAGTTGTTTTTGATGGTAACATAGTAAAATAGAGTAACGGACGATCGTTGCAGAGTAAATAGAGATAGTTACAGAGACGTGTATACAGTGTTCCAGTGATTCGAAGACCTCGCAGAGCAAAGTGCTGAAGATTCTGTAAAATTGCTGCCCTTTCCCAGCGGATCTCCAGTTCTCCTGGATAGTGTTTTCACCAAAAATACCGTCCGCAACCGTTGGTGCAGCTTACAGTAATTAACCGTCCAGATAAAGGCAGTCAGTGGTCTTACCACTGGATTTACAGACGTTTATTTTACAATAATATTTAGAACGCTCAGTATTCGTCAAATTGGGTTCCGTAAATCTAATGTTCATTCGGGAATTGTTTCTAATGAAATATCAATGATGTGTTATAATTAATATTAGTACAAATAATATAGAAACCAAGGGATAGATTAAGTGAGCTTTAATATAGAACATGAAACTTTGTAATTTAGCTGTATCAAACCAAATGACTGTCAATCATTTAATTTAACAAATTACAAAGTGGTATATATATAATACTAAGTTTCCTGTAACACATCAATATATAAAATATTTATACAAATATATTATTCAATTTATACAAATATTTATTCTTAATTTACATGTTATTACTTCATTTCAAATAGTATCATCTCATCATGAAACGTCGGATGTTTCAAATGAAAAGCTTCCAAGTGCAAAGGGTTAATTGATCCAGGTGATTATGAAGAGCCTGGAACATCAGTGCTCCTGCACCGAGTCAATTGATTCGTCGTCCATCTACCATCGGCAGGATTCATCAGTTTCAACGGTACCACCGCAAGCTGCCCAGCAATGATCACATTGTCATCGTCTCCGGTGCTCGTCGATGTTCCTGCAATAGAAATTTACCTCCTGCAGGTGTCTTCATCATCGCGAGCGATGAATTGCCGCGGGAACCGTTACGTAAGTACGCGTGTCTTCAACGTCGGAGTAACCCCGTTTAATCAACCATCGCTCCCGAACGAATCGATCGGCTGCATTCCGTTCAGCGACTATCTCTTTGCAGCATCGGTGTCGGAGCGAGCACCGCGCCAACGGGAAGCACTCGGAGAACCGAACACGACGCTACACCTTCCCAGAGGCGGTCTAATTAGCACGCAGCTTCGCGAAGCCATGTTTCAAAAGGATGACTCAAAAAACTTAACACTGAAATTACCAGCAGTTCAATTGATTTGTTGAGACTCCTCTGTAGAAACTGCAAAAGTGCATCTATTTAGATTTTAATTGATTTTTAATTCAGTTTATTGATAGTCATTGATTATTATTTAGAGAAACATCGATTATCTTTTTAATAACTCTGAGGAAAAGAAATTGGGATGGGTTATTTCAGTGTTAACATTAAAGCTACCAAGTGAATTAGCACGCAGCTTCGCGAAGACATGTTTCAGAAAGATAACTCAAACTTAACACTGAAATTACTAGCAGTTCAATTGATTTGTTGAGACTTCTCTGTAGAAACTGCAGGAGTGCATCTATTTAGATTTTAATTAATATGGTCTTTAATTGTTTAGAGAAACATCTGTTATCTTTTTAATAACTCTGAAGAAAGGAAATTAGGAATGGGTCATTTCAGTGTTAACACTAAAGCTACCAAGCGACTAAGTTTCTATAAGAATTAGAGCACTATACTTCTCGAGACATAGACACTTGATTCTTGCATCTGCACAAACAAATCTAATAACTTTTCACAAAGTCCTTGTCATAATGGAACTACTCGCAAACTAAACATTCTAAAATAGGTCAGCCCGTCCAGTAATTCCAGTGTTAATGACAGGCACCCTGGAAAACTGGGGTTCCTCTGTTCAGCCAATTAACACAAACCACCGAGCAATTAGACTTTTGAAAATCCCTTATAGAAAGTCCAACAGTGCATCTATTAAGACTTCAATCAGTTTCCAATTCAGTTTGCTCGTTGGTACATCAAAGTCCGTAATAATCCTCAGAGAAGCATCCGTTATCTCCCTAACAACTGCAAACAGAAGGAATCGGTCGTGATTTCAGTGTTAATCGGCTTGCCTGCCGGGCAACCTTCAATTGTAACAAATTAGCGAAAGCTCCTCCGGCGACCTTTCTTCTAATTCTTCCTTTGTTTCCACAGGGAAAGCTGCAGGCAGCCGCGAGCTTGAGGAGCAGCAGCAGCAGCCGCTCGGTTTCCGGGAGCACAGGGAGGAAAAAGTTGGAAGCGGCGGTTATCAACGTTATCGCCGGCAGTAACGCCGCGACCGTTCGGGGATGCGCAGCGTGGACGAATCGTGGGCTGGACTAGCGACTATAAGAGGGACGCCGCGCGTCGCGACGCCGCACAATCTTCAGTTTGTCCTGGCCCGAACGCGACGCGCGACATCCACGAGTGACAGTGCGCTCCCGGTGGGAAATCGGCGCCGATCGACGACGAGGAGAAACAACAGCGTGGGCCCAGTCTTCTTCCTCGGCTCCCTCCCCCGCGACGACAATGACAAGCATGGTTCCGGATCGGTCGGCTGGCCAGCTGCGGCTGTTCATCCTGCCAGCCCTCCTTAGCGTCGCATCCGCCGTTATAAAGGGAAACAACGATTATCAGCACTATCAGCAACAGGTACTGTGACCGCTTTACGCCTTCTCTTGGACTCTGTGTTGAGGGGATACTTGAGAATGGTCTTATGTTGGAATGATTTTAGATTGACAGCAGGATTTAGTTTAGTATGTGATCGTTTATTGACAAGTAGATTTATGGAATCCTTGATGGACATTGAATCTTGAAAATATTGGTAATAGTGATCATTTATTGAAAAGTAGATTTATGGAATCCTTGAGTTTGGATATTGAATTTTGAAAATATTATTATACAATTCAAGTATTATACTCTGGTTTTGAGGAGGATTTTTGTGATTTATGTAAATTTCTAGGACTGTAGATGAATCTAGTGTTAATGTTAGTATGGATATTGATTGGTTCATGACAATCTCCGTTTTTGGAAATAAGGAATACTGTCAAAGACTAGGGGTTTTAGCAAGCTACACGTTCCTCGCTCGCACTAATTGCTTTCTCACAAAGTCTCTTTGTCCAAGAAGTTGCAACGAAGTTTGTATAACTCATTGGTCAGTCGATAGCCGCGTTTCCCGCTCTTTGTGGCAATTAATTGCACCGGCGCTTCAAAGTAGTCGGGACAACGTAAGACCTCGCTCGAGTATCCCTCTGCCTCGTGCGCCCACGGAAACAGGTTTCCATTAACAGGAAGACAGAGCACGGGTAACTCTATCAGCGACTTCTTTTATTCCAAGAGAATGGAAGAGCACGTTCCATTCTTCCAATGATCATGCAGTCCAAACAATTCACCCGTGTTCTGTCCACACGATTCGTCTAGAGAATTTACACAACTACAAACAAACTCAACATTCACTCAACCCTTTGCACTAAGTTTGCATTCAACACTCTCTGATAAAACATACTTGTTGCAACTAATGTAACTAATTTAAACTAACACGTTGAATGCCGCACGCTTTCAAAATACACAAAATGAAAACAATATTGAATCATTCCATTATATTATATTAACGTTCATCTAGATATCATCGCATTATTTATAATATACAAATGTTTTCTTATCATCCTTTAACCCTTTGCACTCGAGTGACTATCAGTCACCTGATTTAATATAACAAAACTACAAAGCTGAATATTTAGTACTTTAAATTGAACTTTGTATTTCTATTAAATATTTAAATAAAATAGCTTCGACGCTTAATTTACGTGTGAATTAGTATAGTAACTCATTTTGTTTTGTAACCAGTCCCATGGCATTCAACGTGTTAAACTATTTTACTTTGCTACTTCGCATAGTTCAGTATTAAACAAACTTAATAATTACCCTGGATCAAACAAGTGGCGAGTCACCCAGTGCAAAGGGTTAATTGTGCATTAGTCTGTTTATCTATTAGTCTGTTTGTCTATTAGTCTGTTGCTAATCCGAATGCACACGATGCAACGTGTGAGCGCGTTGCAACGATACGCGTATCGATCACGATCAACGGGAAACGCTGATGACGGTTGCATGGCAATTAGTTGGAAAAGGGATACCGAGGCCCCATGAAATCCGTGGAACGAGCAGCGTTTCGCTCGATTAGATTCGTCGAAGTTACGTCACCGAGAGGAGAGATTCAATATTCCCTGGACATTTGTCGCGGGATTCCTCATTGGACCCGGGATGGGGTGCGGTGCCACTCGATCCCGGGACGTATACTTCTTCATTAATCAGATTATCCGGCTGTTCGTTCCAAGAGGACTGCGCGGAATAAGATATCGCGCCGAAGAACGAAGTTCCCGTGGGCTGAGAACTGCGGGGAACCTCTGTTTCTCGGGCAACAAAGAGCAACGTAAAAGCAATTGCCTCCCTTGGCGAATGTTCGGTGTATGTGTGTGTGTGTACACTAGATTAACGCTAGATTTATTCCATACTTCATTCTGTTGCTTCTAGAAATGTGTATCTTTAAAAATCGTGGAACTTGTAGTTTCAGAGCTAGAGAATTGTAATATATTCCTATAATTAGATCAATCAAAATTGAAACTGTTAGTAAATAATATTTCAAACATTCAATATCTGCCAGATATATATTAAGAGCAGAAGATTGTAATATATTCCTATAATCACATCAATCAAAATTGAAACTGTTAGTAAATAATATTTCAAACGTTTAATATTCATCAGGTATATATATCTAGAGAAGAGAATTTTAATATGAATTCCTATAATTACATCAATCAAAATTGAAACTGTTAGTAAATAATATTTCAAACATTCAATATCTATCAGATATATATATATATATGTATATCTATAACAGTTTGATGGAACGCAATTTGACGAATATTGGATTTCCTAAACATTATTTAGTAACAGTATAAGTTGATCTCGTTTGATGCAATTATAGGAATTCATATTATAATTCTCTGCGTTTGACACAGTAATTTCTATCTGTATGAACAAACGTGTCCTTCTAGGAGCGATAGAATAAATTGTACACGCGTTGCCAGTTAACACGTTAAGCGCCACCGGTGACTGACGCTTCTGAATGACTAAAAAATAATCGTAACATACAAGACAATCGATATGAAATAAAAATGTTTAATAAAGCAACTAAGTTGATAATAGCGTAACGCAAACGTTGCAACGCCAAACAATTCATAAGTATTCCTACTTTTCTTTGCTACAAAAGACAAACTCTATGGGAAAACGCTTAAGATTTTCGTAGCGCTTAACGTGTTAATAATTTTATCCTAAATCGCGGCTAGAATATTCCATTCGGAAAATGATTCCTGGGAACAGACGCGTAGCCGCAACTGCTTCTTCTTGGGTTCTCTTATCGAAGGCGGCGTTCGGTCTGGCGACCTGTAAAGTGAAATTGCTTGTTGTCAGTGTAAACGCAATCTACGCGCGAGAGTTACTCGCAAAAATCGCGTGGCAATGTACCTGGAGGCTCAATCCGGCTGGGTAATGACTTTGAATGAAAACCGTTACCAAAACGGACCCAAAAATGGCCAAGATTCAGATTAGAATTGGATTTCCAAAGATACAGATGTTAATTATTATTCAGCTTAAGTCACCATTGTCAACTTTGCTTGAAACGTAACTTAAATTTTGTATTTGAATTTCAATTTCAATTTGATTGTATTGTTATAATAGTCTGGTATATTGTTACTTAAATTGACTCGGATAGCAATTCCAATAGATATCGGATCATGTTGCGAAGAGTCCGTTTTCAGTGGGAACCGTTACCAAGGGGGATCTAAAAATGATTGAGATTCAGATTAGAACTGGGTTTCCAAAGATGCAGGTATTAATTATTATTTAGCTTAACTTACTATTGCCAACTTCCCTGAAATGTAATTTCAATTACAATTTAATCTTGTATTTGTATTACAATTTAATCTTGAACTTGAATTTGAATTACAATTTAATTCTGAATTTGAATTACAATCTAATTTTGAATTAGAATTAGAATTACAATTTAATCTTGAATTTTAATTTGAATTAGAATTTATTTTTGAATTAGTATTAGAATTAGAATTTAATCTTGTATTTGTATTACAATTTAATATTGAACTTGAATCTAAATTACAATTTAATCTTGAATTTGAATTACAATCTAATTTTGAATTAGAATCTAAATTACAATTTAATCTTGAATTTGAATTACAATTTAATTTAGAATTAGTATTAGAATTAGAATTAAATTTTTAATCTGAATGCGAATTAGAATTTAATTTTAAATTTGAATTCAAATTTGACCATAGCATCACCACAAAATTCCAATATACTATCCAAATCGACCCGCTCCACCAAAATTCCTCCAAAGACCTCATATCCCTTAGAATCTCAATATTTGCGTGAACAACACGGCGAAGTTGGCACCGACAAACAGTCCAATCCCCTATTCAAATATTGAATTCGATTATTGGTCCGACGAGCGCCGTCACTTCCGGTTCTTACCGTTCCGAAACTCGGCGGAAACACGGGTGGCCGTCGGTACAATCGTCGCAAGGTGAATCCGTGTCACGGCAAATATTTACAACGGCTGTACCGGTGTTTGTATCTCGATTACGTCTCTGAGTCTGCCGTAAATCATGGACCACGTTGTCTGGTTAACGCGTAATAATCGAATAGCTACCAACCAAAGCGTGTGCGGCCGTTCTTCGACTCACGGCCCCGTCGATCCGCGGGAAGCGAATCCAATTTGCCGTGTGTACCGAAAACGGCCTGTACACGATTCCCCGTCGAAAACGATAGCCTGGTGAAAAGGAGCACCGGACCGTGCCGTCGATCGATGGAATATATCCTCCCTCCGGATCAATCGGGCTGAAGTGTGCCCTTAACACTGGAATTACCGAGCATTTAATACCATTAACCCTTTGCACTTAATATTTTTTATTAAAGATATTCATTACTTTCTGATTAAATATTAACGATATTTTTCGCAATTAACAATTAATTATCTTTTATAAATTAAGGGAACTATTTTACTTCGATGTTTTATGTGTTGATACATTACACAAGGTTTGATGTTGAATTGAAAATTTTATAAGTTTCCCGCGTCGAATCAGGTCATTAAACGTTTTGCTGCGTAAAATGTTATCATTGAATATATTATAACATTCATATCTACAATCGATAAAAAACAGTAAAATATCAAGTATCATTTATTTATATGTTAGTATGCTTTCTCTATTAAAATTACATTCAGTTGTTGGTAATGTCAATGAGAAAAAGCTTCGAGTGCAAAGGGTTAAATTTGAAAGTGAGACAATCTAAATAAACTTCAATATACTTTATTTATACGTAATGGATTAAAACGAAACTTTAGACATATCTTTTATATAACTTTGAATATTGCTTTTGTAATATTTGCAAAAATTGAAATGGCTAAATGCAAGTGCGAACCTATCAACAACGTTTGGGCATGAAACACGAATTAACACGTGACCGGTCAACAGCGTGTTAAATTTGAGAATAAACCGTGGCTTACCATTTATCGATTATCGATTCCCCGTAACGGTCCGAGGTAAGAGGTTACTTTGGATTAGGTCATGGAAACGTTTGTGTCGCTCGCATCACGTATCGCCTCCGTTCAAAATGAAAAGAACCAACGGCGCGTTAGATAAAATGCTTCCTGTCGGTTGTGTCGTGCATCCCATTCAAGGTGTTCCCAACGTTCGACGACAGGAAGACCCTGTCGCTGTCATTTAACCGGCGGGAATCGGGATCTTGGAAATAGGTTAACTCTCGACGCTGTATTATTCTTCTCGAGACTTTTCTGTTAATCTTTTATATATTAGTGAAGATTTATTGTTGACTAGTTTTCTGTTAACTGTGTGTTATGGTGTTTAGCACGTGGGGATTGTGAGGAAATGTTTTTTGACATGTGATACCGCGAAGATTAAAGAAGTGTGGATCTATATTAAAAGGTAAAAGCTTGTAGAATATAGAATGTAAGTTAATTTATTAGAAAATTATTGCACTTTGTGAGATATAACCAAAATATAATGTGTCAGTCACGTGGCGAGACAACAATATAAATAATATGGAAATATTTGTAGTTAGTAAAAGTTTGGAGGTAACTTAATTTATTATTTAAAATCAGTGCACTTTGTCAGCGAGATACAACGAAAATATAAGCAATAATTAAAGGAATAATACGAAAATATCTGAAAAGCGTGAATATTACTTAATTCATTATTTAAAAAATCGAAATTTCCGTCGCACGGAAAGTATTGAACATAACACGTCTGAAGTTGATCCTGCGTCCGTTTCGCGCGGGAATCGAGCAACTGCGCGACCGTTATATTTCAAATTTACTGCGTGGCAACGCAGTGCTGTTGACTCTTCGATACGTGTGTTTGAGGATTAACGGAATAAATTGGGAAAATAGAATATTCGACAATATTCGATTCAGTTGAATGCCGACAAACGGCGATACGATTCTTTTTATATCGATTTATTGTTCGTTTTAGGAATGTCAAAGATTATCGTTATTCCGAATCGTTCACGTGACCATGCGCCCCAAGACTGCGCGAGTCACGACGGCTCCTTATTTTTCGAATAGAATCTCGCGGTAAGTGAAACGCATTGCTTCGTCTCCAGCACTTTTACCGTGAAATATCGCGGATTTTTTCGTTGAAATCAAAAGAGTAACGGCATGACGTCACGTCGCGTAATTCCGTTATGTTCCGTGCATTCTTCTTCATTTCATTCCTCACTTTGTGCTACTCTGTACTGTTTCCCAGGTTTTTTTAAAGTTTCAAACTAATATTATATTGGTACAGTCTTTTATTAGTCTTTTTACTGTTTAAAAATTTACTTTCCACTCTTTCATGCTCTTATTTTTTTCAGCTGTTCGTTTCCTGGTTCTTTTAAAGTTTCAAATTAATATTATATTGGTACAACCTTTTATTAGTCTTTTTACTGTTCAACAATTTATTTTTCACTCTTTCATGCTCTCATTTTTTCAGCCATTCGTTTCCTGGTTCTTTTAAAGTTTGAAATTAATATTATATTGGTACAGTTTTTTATTAGTCTTTTTACTATTCAACAATTTATTTTCTGGTTCTTTAAAGTTTCAAATTAATATTATATTGGTACAACCTTTTATTATTCTTCTTATGATTCAACAATATATTTCCCAATTTTCCAGCTGTTCCTTTCCTGTTTTCTTAATCTTTCAAATTAATATTAACCAATCACATTTGAAGTTCATATCCGCTCGTTTTCATCCATTTTCCTTTATCATTTCAGCCAAGGAAGAAGTTTCCCTAGTCCTTCATTCATAAAAGGATTCCCTTAGCTTCACGTTGGTACCATCTTTTACTATTCATTTTACGGTTCAACAATATATTTGCTTTTCTCTGACGCTCTCATTTTTTTTGCAGCCGTCCGTTTCCTGGCGCCCTGGCCTGTCCTCTTCATTTTTCTATTATCGATTCCCCTTGGTTCCCAATGTTCCTTCATTATAGACATCGCATTAACCCACTGTGTGGCCACTTGCGAGCGAACGATTATTATTAGAGATGCAACGACAGCGTTATCGACGATCGCCACCCTCTACCCTGAGCTTTTTCAGAGGTCGCGTCTCCCCGAGAGCCGTGGTACAATTATACTGTATCGCTCTTCGAGGGAGCGGCATTTCTGTATGAAAATAACGGTTCATTTCGGCCGGCGTTCCATGCGAGGCACGTATCCCGTAGAATTTAATGTTTACAGAAACGCGACCATGCTTTTGCAAGGGAGGAATAAAAATAAAATAAACGCCGCCGGTGGTAGAACGAAATGCAGGGACACTGGAAGGGGATGAACGAAGGTGTAGCGAGGCATTTATGAAATTCTTCTCTTTGAACTTTTCATCCGGATCCAGAACATGGTATTTCAAAATTCAGATAGTATACTGGTCACTCCACAAGTATTTTCGTTTTTATTATTATTAAAATTTCAGGTGACGAGGTTGGACAGTAGATTGGCTTTCATTTGAATATTCTGAATACTGTGAGCCTTTCAATGGGTTGAACAGTTTTAGTTTCTTTATGAATATTTGAATATTCATTTTATAGAGAACTAAGATTCTATCTTTGGAAGGGTTAAAGTATCAAATATTCTCATTCGAAATGAAATTGTAGTGCCTTCTGCAGATCACTTTCAGTAGCAAACAATGGTTACCGAGGCTGTTTGTTGAAAGTTTCGTCTGCCAAGCCAACTTATGGTAACTTACTCCGCCATAAGCTTCACCGCCAATTCCTTATTAATGTTTCTCTGAAACCTCCTTCTTACAATCCACGGGGAATCGACGAATTGTCACCGACAGAATATAATTTCTATCTCTCTACCAATGATAAAGAAGGAGAACCTAAGAACAAATAGAGACTTTTCTTCTGAATATTTCCCTATTATAATGCAGGAATTATTGTTATAGCTTGTGCAATATTTTGGTAGAACTCTTGCAGTTTCTTGAATCCATGGGAAATCAAACCAACAGAAAATAATTTCTATAATTCTGTGTACCTCTACCAATGATAAAAAAAGAGAATCTAAGAACAAATAATTAAATCTTTATCCTGTTAAACTTTCAATATTTCCCTATTATAATACAGGAATTATTGTTACAGCTTGTGCAACGTTTTGATAGAACTCGCGTCCACGATAATCATCCTCTTACAAGACCAGCGCCGGCATATCCTCAAGTTCATTATCCTCCATACTTTCCCGTTACTAGTGGCGACTGTGGACATGCAGTAATTAACATCAGCGATAACAATCACGCTGTAATATCCGTCTGTCGATAAAGATATTTCCAGCGACTGTCCCCCACGGGGAAATAGGTTTTCCAAGCGTTTAAAATTATTACCGATTCGCTGACCGAATCTAGCCAGCCGCTACAGTGAAATTAAATTGCCTCGCAGATTGAATCGCAGAACAAAGGGAATCGCACCGTTGAAAACCACTTTAAAACAGCAGAAAAATTCTCATTTTTCATCAGGTTCTTTGAAATCGGTTTTCGAGAGTAACCGATGAAAGTTTTCGGTTACCCCATCTGAAATTCAACAGAGAATCGAAGTTCGCGTTTTGATTGATCAATTTTTCCTTGCAGTTACCCGGAGATCGTTTATCAAAGGATTTCTATCGCATGGATTTCAAGGATGGCTTTCCAAATCCGTATCCCCGCTTGAAACCGATCACAGGTAAACATATCCTCTCTCTCTCTTTTTTTTTCCATTGCATCGATTTGCTTTTCCACTGATGGATTCCATTATTCTTTCCAGAATGCATGTTCGTCACAATGGAGCCAGGCACTTTTATGTACACCTCGAAAACCGATAGCGAGGAGGTTTGCGGCATTTACTTCCTGGCCGGACCGGATCAAAAAGTGGAGATCAATTTCCTTGTGTTCGACGTGCCGTGCGAACATCGAGGACTTATCTCTGTAAATCGAGCAAAATAGCATTGATATTATGTAACCGAGAAAGTTTCAAAAGTTTCAATGAAAACGCGTTTGATTATCTGATAACGTTCTTATCAGAGGGTAAACGGCGTCGCGCCACGTTGAAAGGGGATTGATCTACAATTTATTTCTGTACCTTCAGGCGGTGGACGGCTGGGAGCTGAACGGCGAAGTGTTCCCCAGCGAAACGGATCATCGATTGCCCCTGAAACAGAGAATCAGCGAATTCTGCGATAAGAGCATCGGCGTGAAGAGAAGCTTCGTGAGCTCCCAGAACGTCGCGGTCGTCAGGTACAGGATTCCCAAGCCTGGCAAGGGTTTCACTATCCTTGCGAGGTTCCTGAAGAATCCTAGACGTGAGTATAGGCGCTGGGAGAGTCAACACGTTGAATGTATTGATTTTTTAAATACAATACTAAGTTATATTCAAGTTTTTCTAATTTTATATATTTTGATATCGTTTCTTGATGGTTTCGGTGCTTTGTGATGTGTACAGCTATTCTTGACCATGTGTCCTTTAAAAATATTTTGTTACAAAAATTAACGTGTACCACATGTGTTAAGGACACGTGTTTCAAGGGAAGTTAACACTGTAGATAGTTAAAGTTGTAAGCTACGAAATTACATTTAGGGATTCAATGACTCGTTTCAGCCTCATGTGTTTCAATAGTTTGTTTAGATTTATTTAATAAAATGTAATTGAGAGGTTCGCCACTGAAACAAACGCTGGTAGCGAATGTGTTAAATAAAAATGATTGATCTTCTTCACACTAGAACTTATTAGATTATTAAAGTGATAAAGGTGCTTTGTTGAGAAATTCATTCATTAAAATCTCAAGAAATCTGCTTTCATAATTTTTATAATAAATTCTGAGTAGCTTAGTCTCATTGCCTGGCAGTTCTACTGTTAACGCTGTCTTCCTTGATGAATTTCCAGCCTGCAACGTCTTGGCAGCAAGCTTAACCGAGCCGTACACTTTACGTAATTACGGGAGACGCATTAATTGCACCTACGTCACATTGTACCCTGGAACCGTGCAAATAATCGCGCTCGGCGTCGGCATCACGAATCTACTTGGATCCAGTCGCACTGCGGAGACAGGAACTTTGCGGAAAGTTCGTATTGGAATGAATGTAATAAATAATGTAATATACCAATGAACGCTTTACTCGATGGAGAACCTTTTATTTTCAGTGCGACGAGAGGAACCCACATGATCAAGTGGTAATCGGTGGTAGCTACGGTTTGGATACATCTAAAACTCAGATGGTGGATTCTATCTGCGGAATAGACTCTAAACCTGGTACTCATTTTAATTTAAAAATATTAGATTGTAACGTATGAAATATCTGATTGTTAGGATTAACTTGAACAGAAATTCTTTAGTAGTGAATATTTTTTATTTGAGATATATCAAGTTGAAGATGTCTCTTTATTCCAGACTATCGTGAGGTGGTGGGATACGGTGTCACCTCGGTGCGGTTAATATCGAGTGGTTTCTTCGAGAACTCTGTAACTGTGAACATCCAGCCACTCAAAGACGAGTATCTGGATACGAATTAATCTGTAACGCTTTGGTCATAGAACTACGATCGTTGATGCTTAAAGCTATGAAACCTCATTGTGAATGCAGTACTTAAAACCAGCGGCGGAGTTCCTAAAATTTAATCATTCACATCCAGTATATATATATATATATATATATAAATTTATATATATATATACTCATTTCGTTTGATAAATTTGGGGATCCAAGTTCCATTTTCTATATTGTATTTCGATATTTTCATATATATTATTTATTATACTTTCATTGAGCATTACTCGATTTACATTTACGTGACTGAGTGCGATTAATCATTTAAATTAACGACTGAACTAGTTTAAAAGCTCAAGCCGTAGAGTCCGTGTTTTCTGTAAAATGATTTCTCTAGGCATACTTTTGAGACGTTCGTGAACCGATATATTGTGCGACTTGTGATAAGTGGATTTCAATAACCGCTAGATGTGTATAGACCTCTCTGTAGACGAATAGTTGCTAGAACATTTTAGTACCTTAGACGAAGGCCTCGAATTTTTATTCTTGTAGACTGTAAAGTTAGAGATGATCCAGTTTGGTTGGAGCGTACCAATTTCTTTTGACGACTAAACTGAATAAACGTTAATTATTCCTCCAGTTTCGCTTATTGTATATGGTGTACACCTTATGGGAATGAATTGTGTTGCGATTCGATTTTATTAAATTATTTAGAAGCACATTTGTAATATCGATTCAGTGCTTTTCAGGAGAAATTCAATGTTTCTCTGGAAAGGATGAATTTCCTTGCATTCCATCAGTTCAGTTGTCTTCCGCCGCTTCAAACTACTCGAAGCTGTTGCTAAGCGACTCAAGTGTACACAATACGTCCTGCATGGAGTAAGTACTCGCTTACAAGAGGCGAGTGTGAAATTATCAACGTAATAATGTGAACAATGTAAATAAAAAGTCATTTGATCGATCGAGAGTTTTGTAGGACTCTTTGCAATTAGCTGGTATTGAATACCATCAGGAATCATCATGTTACTCAAGTATTTGGGGAACGTCATGCCGCCGCATGTGAGTTTATAATTTTGTATGGTTATTTACATTATTAATGTGTACTTTTAATATTAAATAGGAATATGAGAACCGCGTGGTGAGTATAGTCTGGTCACCAAATAATTTAAAACTTGCTGTTGCATCTTCGGACCGTTCAATATATTTGTTTGATGAGAATTGCGTGAAACGAGACCGCTTTCCAACGAAACCTGTCGATTCTAAGGTACGTTGAATGATTTCACAATGAGAGGAATGTTCATTGAAAATTGTACTCATTATATTTCCAGTTTGGTAAAAAGAGCTATGTAATTAAAGGCATAGCTTTCTCTCCAGACTCCACAAAAATAGCAGTGGGCCAATCTGACTGTATAATCTATGTATATAAAATTGGAGAACAATGGTATACGCACTATATAACAACAATTCTCTTTATCATTTGTTCATTCACTTCACAGTGCACGTTAAATCAACAGGGGAGAGAAGAAAGTGATTTGCAATAAGTTTCGCCAAAGTTCCTCTGTCACTTGCCTGATTTGGCTCTCCGAGGGACCTATTATTGTTGGTTTAGTGGATGGGAAAGTTCGTGCAGCTTTGCCAAAGTCTCAGAAAGCTCAAACCCTCTACACAGCTGATTCAACAACGATTGCACTGGCTTCAAAGTAATCTATGTCTATTATAATATAAACAAAGCATTCAATGTTCCTCATTCTACCATGTCTGAATTTTAGTATAAGAGGTACTGGCTTCTTATCCAGCCACGCCGATGGCAGCATCATAAAGTATAATCTGACAGAGGATGGAAATCATGAACCTTCTGGACGCATCTGCACTCACAATGTACCAGCGTACGCCTTGGCCTGGCCACAGTTCCACATCCTAGCAGCAGGATGCGACAAACGAGTAACTTTCTACGACGCCCGAGGGAAAGTTACCAAAACATTCGACTACAGCCGTGAAAGCGACAAGGAGATATCGGTAGCATATTGTAGCCCCAGTGGACAGAGTGTTGCCATTGGATCCTGGAATAAAATACGAATATTGGACTGGAGTCCTAGACGTTCCATCTGGGAAGAAGCGAACTCCAAATCTTTGCCTAACTTTTATACCGTCACCGCAATCTCGTGGCGACGCGACGGGTCCCGGTTAGTTCTTAACACGTTAAGCGCCATGTCAGTCACTAGTGGCTAATGCTTCTGAATGACTGAAAAACAATCGTAACATACAAGACAACCGATGTGAAATAAAAATGTTTAATAAAGCAACTAAGTTGATAACAGTGTAACGCGAACGTTGCAACGCCAAACAATTCATAAGTATTCCTGCTTTTCTTTGCTACAAAAGACAAACTCTATGGGAAAACGCTTAAGATTTTCGTGGCGCTTAACGTGTTAAATTGTATATCATGCTTTAGAGTTCTTTACTAATGCACAGTGTTTTTCAGGTTAGTATTGGGCAGCCTATGTGGAGCTGTAGAGCAATTTGAAACAGTGCTGAAGCGTACAGTGATAAGAGGCAGCCATGAGGTAGCTTACGTGGGCCCCAATCAAGTGGTCATTCGTCCCCTGCAAGAAGGCAACAGGCCAGTAATCATCAGATCACAGATGGGCCATGAGATAGAGGACGTCAAGGTCTTAGGGCGTGCTGACAACAACGTGGTAGCTCGCACAGCTAACACGCTGCTGCTCGCAGACATAGAATTGAACCTTATCAGTGAAATTCCTTGGGACGACAAGAGCAACAGCGAGAAGTTCTTCTTCGAGTTCCCACGAGTGTGCTTAATTTTCTGTTCCGGGGAGTTGAGCATCGTTGAATATGGGAACAACGAGCTGTTAGGCTCGGTAAGAACGGAGGCGGTGAATCCTCACGTTGTCAGCGTGAGGATCAACGAGAGGCAAGTGCCTGGTGGTGCTGACAATAAACGGTTAGCTTACCTATTGGATCCTAGAACGGTGCGCATCGTAGACCTCATGACAGGTATCACGATCGCAATGATTTCTCACGACGTACGCGTGGATTGGTTGGAGTTGAGTGAAACTGGACACAGACTGTTATCGCGAGACAAGAGGGCCAGGTAATTGAGAGAACTTGCTGCTGCTAATATTAACTTGTATGATTAGAAGACTCTTTGCATACCATGAAGCTTTTATTTCATTAACTCAGGTTATGGTTAAGTGACGATTCGGGCGGTCGGACTTTACTGTTAACTGGAGTCAGCTTTGCCTCCTGGGTGCTAGGCAGCGACGTGGTGATAGCTCAGACAGGTCAGACACTGGCAGTGTGGTACAACGTTGACGCTCCCGAAGTCGCCACTCTGATTCCTGTGCGTGGAGACGCGGTGGACATCGTTAGAGAAGACGGCAGAACTTCGGTAACCGTTGAAGAACTCGGTGGAAAAGTAGCTTACTTACTGGACGAACCGCTGATCGAATTTGGCACGGCCCTGCACGATAACGATTTTGGCAGGGCTCTGTTGTTTCTAGAGGAGTTAGCGGACAGGCCACAGGCAGAGGCTATGTGGGAGGACGTGGCCAGAAATGCCATGGCTACCAGGCAGTTGTTAGTCGCTGCTAGGTGTTACGCTGCTCTGGGAGACGTGGCTTGCTCCAGGTTTCGTTGATCACCAATGACACTTAATGCTGCAATACTGCATTCAAGAATCCACACAATTTAATTCATGTTGTAGGTTCCTTAAAGACATTGTGAAGACTGGTGAGAAGTACAGCGCAGAGACTGGCAACGATCCTCTTTCTAGTCCAGATTGTTGGGCTAAACTGGCAATTCTCAACGGCGAATTGAAAACAGCGGAGGCAATATACCTGGAGCAAAACGAGTTAGCCCAAGCTCTGGACATGTACCAGAAGTACTGGCACTGGGAGGATGCGTTGATCCTGGCGCAGAATCGTGGGTGGCCAGGTTTACAAGAACTTAGAGACAGGCATTTGACTTGGCTTCTTGAAAGTGGACAGGCAGCTAGGGCTGCTGCTATCCTGGAGCCCACCAATCCTCGACGGGCTGTGAAGTTGTACCTAGAAGCTCGTCGACCTGGACGAGCTGCCAGATTGGTTTTAGCCGACGATGAACTGTTGGAGGACAGTTCAATAGTTAACGAAATTGTGAAGGTATTAAAAGCAACAGATTTAATGGAGCTTGCCGGGGAGTTACTGGAGAAGATCTCAGAACACTTGGAAGCCATCAGATGTTATGCGCAAGCTGGAGTGTTCGCCAGAGCGTTGGAATTGGCTAGGAAAGTAGCTCCCACCATGGTGGTGGATCTTGAACGAGATTGGGGTAATCATTTAGCTTCGGCTGGTCATTACGACGCTGCCATTAATCACTTCATCGAAGCTGGGGAAACTGCTTTAGCACTGAACGCTGCTATAAATGCTCATCAATGGAGGAAGGGCTTGCAGATCGTTCAAGTATGTATTTAAAAATGAAATCCATGGTACAATCAATAATAATGAATTACACGTTTGTAGGTAATCGAGAACGATGATCCTGCAGTCAGAAAACAATGCGAGAAGCTGGCCGAGTATTTCGCCTCTATAGGAGAAAAGAATCTCGCGGAGAAACTCTTCATTCGTTCCGGAGACGTGAAACGTGCTGTGGACGTCCACATTCAAAACGGCAATTGGAGTCGCGCCCACGAAGTGGCTCAGGAGCATATGAGTCACGAGGAAGCTAATGAAGTATTGGCTAAGCACGCGGCAGCCCTAAGCGAGGCGGGCGACCTCAAGCACGCAGAGGAACTGTATCTTGCGATAGGCGAGCACGACTCCGCCATAGCAATGTACAAAAAGGCAGGTCGTCGGACAGACATGGTGAGGCTCGTAGGGAAATATAGGCCAGATCTCTTGGAGCCGACTCATGTACTCTTGGCGAGGGAGTTGGACGCTTCCGGCAAGCCTCGGGAAGCTGAAGATCATTACCTAGCTGCCGGAGATTGGCGAGGTGCTGTGACTGCTTATAGATCAGCCAACATGTGGGAGGATGCGTTGCGAATAGCTAAGCAGAATGCTGGAGACAACGCTGCTCAACAGGTAGATCCATAGATCAGTTGTACTCTTTTCATGCGCTCATCTCTTAACGCTACTGTTTTCTTTGTAGGTTGCTCTAATGTGGGCCCGTACCTTGGCTCCAGAACTGGGAGCAAGGTTGTTGATGCGGCTGGGTTACTTGGACGGATGCCTTCAACTGGCCTGCGAGGCAGATCTATTCGACTGGGCCTTGGAGATCGCCAAGTATGGCACACCTGAACAGAAGAAGGAAGTCCATTACAGACACGCTATGGCCTTGGAGGACGCGGGTCGCTTCTCCGAAGCTGAGAAGGAATTCATTAAAGCGGGGAGAACCATGGAAGCTGTGCAAATGTACATACACACTCGCAACTGGGAAACAGCTGAAGATATAGCGCAGTCCTTCAGCCAAGAAGCAGTTGCACAAGTTCTGATCGCCAGAGCCAACGAAGCCGCTGAAGCTCAGGACTATTCTCTCGCAGAGACCTTGTTGCTCAGAGCACACAAACCTGAAACGATTATAGATCATTACAAGGTGATTATGAATTACTCGTGTACGACCATCAGCTAGTTTTCATTTGGCTCCATTGTTACAGAAAGCTGGCATGTGGTCAGAGGCGTTGCGTGTATGCAGGGAGTATTTGCCGAGTCAGGAGGCGAACCTCAGACGAGAATTGGGCCAGAAGAGCGCTTCGTTCAGTGGAGCAAACGCTTTCGAGGAAGCTAAGAAATGGTTGGAGGTCGGAGAAGTGAAGGCTGCCTTGGATATCCTGATTTTAGACCCCCAAGCCTCTAGGTCATCTCTCATTCGAGCTGCTGAGATTCTGCTTCATCAGGCGGACTCAGAAACTGCTGCACAAGTTGGGGGGAACCTTGGTTCGAGGCTGTTCGCTATTGGTGAACATGCTCTGGCTGCACAGGTTACTTACTGTTGAATGAAACTTGGTACACTTTGAAAGTGAACTATATTTAGATCCTGAGTGTCATTTTTTATTTGTAGGTGTTTCTGCAAGCGGATAGATTAAAGGATGCCATTGACGCTTTGACATCAGTGGGAGAATGGGAAAGAGCCAGGCGTATAGTGAGGGAACTAGCACCGGATATCGAGCCTTACCTAGAGGAAAAGTATAAGGACACGATGCTGAGAGATGGACAAATAGACAGACTAGTGGAAATTGATGCAGACGCTGGTTTAGAAGTATTGGCTAACAGGGGACAGTGGAACCAAGTGTTCGAGGCAGCAAGTTCTCAAGATACTCAGACTCTCCACAAATATGTAGCACAGCGAGCAGTGCAACTTCTGAAAACGAATGTCCCATTAGAGGCTCTGCAGTTGTATGCAAAATATGGAGCTCCACCTATTCCACAGAATTTTAACCTTTATTTACAGTTATCTGAAAATGTCTTACATTCCAAGGTAAGAGTTAATTAAATCTTTGATGTTCAACGTCATTAAATTCTTTTCTTTCTTTAAGTATTCAATTTTACCAGGCATACTATGAATACAAACACCTAGCTCTCCTCAGAACTGTCCTGTTGGACATTTGGAAAAACCTGAAGGCCTCCAACATGTCCAAATCGAAATTCGAGAGGTTACTCAAGTCGACCCACTATTCAGCAGTGAAGTGTGGGTGTAAAGATTACCCTGCACTGTCTGGAATAGTTCTGAAGTCCTCTATAGCTTTGTTAAGGTACACTGACCTCATCCTCGTCGACAGAGCGTACTACGAAGCTGGCATCGAAGCACGGACAGCTGGACTGAACAGCGAAGCTTTTGTTTTCCTGAATCATTTCCTGGACGTGGAGGAATGCATCGATGAAGGTGATAGCACTGTACTGGATGTCGATGACTTAGCTGTTACAGACTTTCCTGTGGAAGTTCCGTTGCCAGACTCTTTGAGTATGACGTCAGAACAAAGGGAAGAGGTTCGTGAATGGGTGCTCGCAGTGTCTATGGATCAAAAGGTGGAACAGGTTCTGCCTACTGACCACAGAGGAGTTTATGTAGGATCATTGACGTCTCCTTCTGCAGAAGCTGCGCCTATTCAGGAATGCATTCTGACAGGATATCCCATACGGGGTTCAGTAATTCGATTCTCAGAGGTATGTAATTGTTTTAATCATGTCACTTAAGGTTAGTTCATTTTACATTGATCATCATTTTTCTGGCAAGGGTGAACGTGTTGCTGATCGCGACGACTGGACGAAAATGATCAACACGGCACGCCAGGCTCCCCACGAATCTACTCTTAACGATATTCTAGCTTTCATTCAAGAGTGGTGCGGCCCGATACCCACTTATTCCTTCTGAACACATTCCACATAGTTTTTAAGTTGAAGGCTACATAATAAATGTGAAGATACTGAAGTAGGTATATAAGAAACATTTGTAATTCACAGTTGAACCATCGCATCGTTGCAGATCTAGTTGTAACGCCGTTTAAGATTTAGTTTAATGAATTGATTTCAGTGTTCACGATCAGGAGGAAATATAAAACCAGTAAAACGTGTCCTTGTTTCTCTAGAATTTATTTAAATATTGCATTATGTAAATAATTAGTCTAACTTAAGCATAAATAGTTCTATGTGTAAATATACATGCAACGCGTGTTCATGGGATTCTCATGTTTTACCTTGAACTGAATATCTATATGTAACAATTGAAACCGTAGCGAGTTACCGAGATAACTATCACTCGTTGTCTGAACACCTATCCGCGACGGATATTTATATGACTACTCAGCGATGACTATGCAAAAGTTTTTTGCATTTGTACACAGGCTGTGTGTTAAAAGTAATAGCACAAGCTAGAGATGAGAAGTTTGGTGGTACGAAATAGAATAATCTCTACTGCATGTCAGTACAGTTTTTCACTGGACAGAATATCGTCGAATATAAAACATTCGCAGGAGAAAGAACTAAAAGCGAACTAGGATTACAGTTAGAATTGTTCGTAGAGGCGAGGTGTTCCGTCTGGAATTTTTAACAATGATACCAAGTTCTCCCCTGAAATGAAGACTCCCTTCAGAAGAAAATAGTCGGTGAAATTGTTTTATTTTCAATTAAGTATCCGCCATTTCTTGCTTATACCATCATTTCCTAAGTATTTTAAATATATATATATACAGTGTCTCAAAGAATGTACAATAAAAAAAAAAGAAGAAATGAGATTTCTAAGTCCAAAATAAGACAATCGGTGAAGCTTCTACACGGCTACAGATTATGAAGTTCTCATAACTGATTCGGGAGTTAGTCAAAGTCGCTAGTCGGTTCTATAAAAATATGGAAAATTATCTTATTCTCCACTCAGCAATCTGATCTACCTATGGTACAGCATACCTCGTGAGACACTTCGTATATGATTATGTTTGGATATACAAAACATTTGATAAATAGTGCATTTTCCGGGAGAAGTCCTTTGTTTTGTTCCCAGATTAAAAATCGACTCACGGTGCACGCCTCCAGAAATCCGGCGAATAAATTAACCATCATTGTCTGCCCACCTTTCTCTACTATCCTACCTTATTAAATAACTAATATACAATTCGGAATATTCCATTACAATTTGAAAACGATAGTCGACGAATAAAATCTATTAAAATTCAATTAAAATGACACGAAGGTAATGCTAACGTCTCACGTTTCCCTGATGGCCAGAAAATACTCTATTTATTAAACACCCTGCACATGCACAATCGACCAGAATAACGTAGGTCCTCCACTGAAGGCTCTTATAAAAATGAAGAACGCAGTAAATACAAAAGAAGGCTCCGGAACATATACAATACATACATATCATGCTTCCCCTAGGGTCTTGCTAAAACATTGTGTCTCGTATGTTCCCCCATAACATTCTTTTGATTCCCATATCAGAGAAATTAGCTTAACCAATATTCGTACATTATGCATGTGTTCGCCATGTATAAAGAGGATTCTTAACTATAGAACAAAAGGAACGTATGATCCAGAAATCAATCTCCTATAATTCTCTTCTCCATCGACAGATGAAACTTAAAAAAATCTCACGCAAGATCCTACAAAAGAGATCTAATCGCAAGAATCAACCTTATACACCGTGGAGCGACTAAAACCACTCGTTTATCCGTTATAGTAACTACTGCTGAGTGATCCTGAATACCGGGCCGATCCTCAAGAAGAATCTGCGCAGCACGGACCTTAATTCAGGCTTGAGATCAAAGCACATAATCTCGCAGAGTAGAGGGTAACAGCTGGATGCGTGAACGGCAAACCTGTTGTCGCTCATTTTCAGGATTCTGGTTAGGAGTAGCAGTAAGATGGGGGTCCAGGCCTCCCTGTGCGCCTCGTTCGACAGCGCCAGGAAGTACTCCAGCGCCTCACAGGCGACCTCTACCAGTCTGGCCTCGACTTTGTTCCAGTCAGCCCTGTGAGCTTCGTCGCTGTACATCTTGAAGAGGATGCGCAGGGCGCACGCCAGCGACTGCGTCTCTTGCTTCAGCAGGTTCGGCTTGACGTTGCCTCTGAAGCCAGCCTTCCACAGGACGTTCCGTTGCTCGTGGTCGGAGTTGAAACCCTTGGCGAACCGATGGGACTTTAACAGACACTCCACCAGCTGCAGCAGGTGCATGGTGGTCAGGGCGCAGTACATGCCCTGCTCCTCCTTCTGCTGGTCCGCCCCTGCTCTCACGCTCAGCTCAGACGACTTCCCGTTGAACATGTCCGCCTGCGCCAGCGCCAGGTTCTCCTGGTCCTCCTTGCGCGATGTGGCCGGGTAGAACACGATGTTGTCTATCGTTTGGATCAGCTCCAGCTGGACCACGCACTTTATCAACAGCGCGGAGAACACCTTGTTCTTCAGCGTGTCGCTGTTAGTCAAGCTTTGCGAGCTGTTGCTCCTCTTCAGGATGCCCACGTGGCCGTCGGCCTCCCCGGTGATCACGTCCAGGTCGGACTCCTTGTTGGGAGACTGAGGCTTCCATGTTAATAGTGCGGAAGGCAACGTGCTCTCGAATATGTCCAGAACGCAGCAGCAGGTCTTCTCCCAGGTCTTCTCGTCGAACTTGATGCCATTGCTGATTACTAGGTTCTCCAGGCAATTGGTGCCTGACCGTGCCAGCTGCTCGTTGTCCTGTTGCACGCACCAGAGAAGTTGGGAATACAGTTGTTCCAGTAACAGAGGTCCCAGAGTATCGTAGAACTGCGAGAACACGTCCACGATGGCGTAGAGGGCGTGGTTGCAGGTTGTCGTCATCCACTCAGCTTTCTGAAATGTAACGCTAATGAAGTGCCAACTACAATTCTCTGGTGTTAACCAACACCAGTTAACTGGTTATAAAATGAAGGTGAACAAATTGAATGATTTTTCCTTTGTAGTACCAACTACAATTCTCTGGTGTTAACCAACACCAGTTCACTGGTTATAAAATGGAGAACAAATTGAACGATTTTTCCTAGTGAAAACAAAGAAGGCAGAAATAATAAAACTGATTAACACTACTACTGAGCATTTAGTGCGATTAATATGCAATTCTCATAAAAATTGTGACAATAGATTATTTTCAGTTTCTTCAGACATTCGTTATACTACTCAAATGAAGCTATTTATTTTCAAAATTATTTGGAATATTCAATGCTTCGAAGATATCAATAATTGCTGAATAAGAAAATCGAAACCAGTCATTTTGACTGTTACGGTAGTTCTAGTGTTAACTGGAGAATACAAGAACTTATGTAAAGATAAATGGGACAAAGATGCTGAATTTTTGAAACTTGAAAACCGGTCACTTAGTGTTAGAATCTCTGCCGGTTGGAATTACCTCTGTGTGCTGCTCGGGGAGCTTCATGTTGTCGAAGATTCTGAACAGCACTTGGAAAAGGTCCTTCCACCAGTGAGGCTTGAACGACGCGCCGTGAGTCTTTACGACGTCGAAGAGAACAGTCAGTGCTCGTGTTCGCACATCTAATTTACATCTGCTCACTATACAGGATAATTCAAACAGTAACGGGAACCATCCCCTTACCTACAATACAAACAAAACAAAATTACTGACAAGTCCTTTTTCTAGAAACTGTTAGGACCAAAGTATGAATATATACCCAAGCTCTGTCTTCCTCGGATACCATTCCACTGTCGTCCATCATCCCCTCTGCGAACAGGCTCGGATTAGCGTCAATGTAGGAGGCGCAAGAGCGTATCAGCCTGATTGCCTCCATGCTGGTCTCTGGGAAGGAGGCGTTGCAAGCGAATTCACTGAGGCACTTGACGGCATCTTGGAAAGAGTCTACCATAATACTGAAGTCTTCCGCGTACAGCTCATCTGTGAAGAGTACCATGATAGAGGCAAGTGTTTCTCAATACAAGCTACTTGTAAGAACTTGACATTCACTTATGATTTTCCCTGTCATCGAGAACGCCAGCTCGACCACAGCCTCGTCCCTGTCGCTGGCAGCATGGTGGAACACGCTGAATATATTCTTCCAGCCAGAACGGATGTTGGGTGCCTGCGAGTGGACGATCTGAGCGACGCAACGGACGACCATGTCCCTGATCACCGGCGACCTGTTCTTCTTCATGATATGCTCGAACGGTCTCAGGAAGTCCTTTTGGAACCGGAAATTCGCGAACTCGCCCTTCTCGATGAACTTGGTGGCTAGCTGCCTCAAGGAGTCCACCGCGAAGAACGCTATTTCCTGGCGAGGACTGCAACCGACTCTGTCGAAGTGGTCACCGATCACTTGCCAGATCCTCGACCACTGCAGCCTGATGCGACCCATGTTGTAGTATGAGATTTCTACTATCTTCGTTAAGGAGAACATGCGTGGCTGGGTCGGATGCGATAGTTCCTCCAAAGACACTTGGCAGAGAGCCTTCACGAACTCCACGATAGCGTCACCATCCAACCTGGTGGATCCGGTGAAGATCCTGTCGACGGCCACCACCACGCTTTGCGAGCTTGTCTCTCCTATTGACTCCTTCACGCTTGCTGTAATTAATTAGTGTAATGAATGGCTGTTAAGTCACTACTTGATTTGATGCAGCAAATATGATGTTGAATGTTTAGTGTTTTAACCCTTTGCACTCAGAAGTTTCTAGAAATGTTTGACACTTTGAAGATGATATTCCTTGAAACTAACTTGAAGAGGAATCACAAGTACAAGGAACAAAGCTATGTTACTCCAATATTTCACATATCAATTATTTTAATTAGATTTTATAGTTTTACCGTGTGAAGTCAAATGGCGACTGAGTCGCCTTCCTGGTGCAAAGGGTTGAATGAAACTTTGTATTACTATGTGAAATATTTCAATAAAACAGCGTCGTTGCTTAATCTGTCTGTGACTTATATTTAAATTAGTTTCAAATGTCGTCTGTCTCATCAGAAAACGTTAAATGTTTCCAGTGAAAAACTTTCAAGAGCAAAGGGTTAGAAAACTAGAGTTCACGAATCTGCACTTACGGTCGAGAGAACTGAGATTCAAATTGTTGTTCTGATGGGAATTGTTGTGTGTTAAATTAAAGGTGACTAATGGCGAGGGGAAGTGTGGCTTGGATGGCGGGCCCAGGAGCTGCGGCCTGACCCCGGTCCCTATCAATTGGGCGAGTTCCAATTGCGAGATACATTTCACAACGTCCAGCCAGGAGCTGCCAAGGTAGTTCCCGTCGGTGTGCGCCACGGTTATCAACGTCTTTATGGTGTCTATGTTCTTCGCTTTCATTTCAGTGATTGGCGAGTTCGCAGTCAGCAAAGTGAACCGTGCCAGCGCTTGCACGTACGCATCGCGTTCTAACTGTGTTCGAAAAGAGAAAAATATTTGTACTGAGAATTTTATCTTGTCAATACTGGTCCTCAACGCTTTGTACACTCTGGAGCAGTGTTTCCCAACAATGGGCAATTTGAAATTTGAAATATCACTTCATGTATCTCACAATATTTACGCATGTAACCAAAATAACAAATATTATAATAAATACTATAAGAATATTATAATACAATATTAAACATTATATATATGTTATACAGGGTGGCACAAGAGTTTTAAAAAGGCTTCAGTGAGGCATGAAGAAAGGTTGGAAAACACTGCTCTAGTCTTACAGTTACTCCAGAGGTCTCTTGAAGAAACAAAGAGAATTCCGTCGACGCTGAAATATGATTTACCGTCATGTGAAATATGCAAGCGATGCGTATTGCGCATCTGATGCCGTCTAAGCATAAAGAAGCAATTTCCGGATCGTCGCAGTCTTGGAGGCCGACGCTGAACGCAGCTAAAAACGGAGTCCAGGCGATTTTGAACATAGGTCGGACATGTTCCAGGTGCTTGGCCGTTGTGAACGGTGCTTGAACGTGGCTGACAGATTCCATTAAGTTCTTCGCCGCGGTCGAGATCACTTCCATTTCCATGTTCCATAGTAAACGCCGTTTCTTTTCACTGGATATCACTGGAACATCAAGTGGAATGATTACAAGATCATTTCTTTGAAAAGTGTATAATAACAATTTGTTCGCAGTTCCTTTTCATAGAGGTTACCTTGCTTTCCAGGTCTGTTAGGGTTCGACTTCATTTTAATTTCATTGCCGGCTATCTCGTCGTAAATCTTGGACAAATATTCCTCAGGTAAATCTTCGTTATCGCTGATGCGCCGGTTCAGCTTGATATATTGTTCCTTGGTCATTTTATTTTTGACTTGCGGCGAGTGAAGGTCAGTGGTGAGCATGATAATTGAGAAACCAAGGACGTAAGCGGTGTCCGCACTTGTGAATAAACCGTTGCTGCAAGGAGAAGGTGGAAATCAATTGTTTTATCGGTTGTGGTTAACCCTTTCGCTACTACAGGTGATTAGTCACCGGTTACAAAGGTGGAGCCAAAAGTTAAGACAATAGAAACAATAACTTTGCTGTTAACACTATTCGACACTAGATTTACTGACGTTTACTCTGTACAGTTTGTTCTATTGTTAAAAAAATTGTTTAGACCTCAGAGTGTCTATAGAGAAATTTTGAAAAGTCGACTTGGTAGTTCCAGTATTCCCACTTTTGGCACGACTCTCCGTTCTCCTCAAGAGACTTCCGTAGCGAAAGGGTTAAACTGTATTTCCGACGAGCACTCACTTCGGATTACACTCGCAGTATCGACTGGCAAACTTTTCCATCAGCCGATCGATTTTCTGCGCCTCGCCGGGTAACCGGAAGCCCTCGAGAAAATACCTGAGGGCTGTAACTAAATCACGATCAGCGAAATTCATTTGGTCGATATAACTGTACATCACCTGATTGTGATTATGATCACCGAGAAAGTCGCCTATCGCGGTCTTATCGAGTCGTTCGTCCATATGAAGCCAGCGGGCAACGTCGTCGGACGAATTACCTAGAAGACCTTGTTCTTGAAGATATTGTACTCCCTTGCTTGGCTTTCGATTAAAACTAGAGGTGAGAATACCACTTAATTAATAGAAAGCATGCCCTTATTGCTGGTTGTTATGTGAGCGGAAGCATCAGGCAATCTCATGGTTTCTATTTCAACCCCTTGCCCTACAACAACGAGTGAGACTCGTGCTGAAGATTTTCAACATGCTTCAACAAATATATATATTACTTAGTTCATTCGAATTCAAAGTAAATATTATTCCTCTGTAATCAATTATTATACTTGAAAGGAAATATAGGCGTAACGTATGCTTAGAATTTTTCTCTTTCTCCAATAAATAATTAATGACAAAGTAGCCGTATCGATCAGAGTTGAGAAAGAAATCATAGGCCAAGGGGTTAATTTAGAATCTGCCTGATGCTTCGCAAATGAACGAAGCGGAAGAGGAAAGATTCAAGTGACGAGCCCCGAGCCTTACATGTCAATCCCGGTCTCCCAGACCTCCTTTTGCTGCTTCTGCACTTCATACTGTTCCGGTGAGTCCGGGATCTCTTTGTTTCCTGCTAGACTAGAATTCGCGGACGACAAACTTCCTGCGCTGCCATAACGCGGTAATGGTGGTTCTGCGGGGGGATCCGGTGGTTCTGAAGGTAACTGTTGGTCGGCTGGTACGCTTGGGTTGACGTATAAATCTCTACTCCACTCCACCATGCATTTCAGAATTGACACTAGACACTCTAGACCTCTGATACGCATTGACTTTTCTTGGTTAGGCGAGGCACCCAATTCTAGAGCTTGCCTGCCTTGGGCAATCTTGGATAGATCGTTTACAAGCCTGTAAGTATGAAAATGCAACGTTGGTTTAAGCACTGATAGATCTTGTTGTAGTCCACTGTGTTTCCTTACCTTTCGAATAGGTTCGCAGCTGAAAGATCACAATCGTAGTTCACATATATGTCAACAACACTTTGAGCATCTGCACAGATGCGAGTCAAGGCATGAATCACCATCCACTTGTGTTCGAAGGAACTACTAGAGGTCTCAAGGATGTTCATGAAGATCTCCTTAAAGAACACTTCTATCTGCATCTTTAAGTGCACTTTGAAACGAGCCAGCAGAGCCAGGAACAACGCCAATGAAAGCTCGAACACCTCGGGAACCGATGAAACGCCATTCTTAGAAAGCGCTACACAGAGGTACTGCTTTATAGCTATTACGAACATCTCGTTTGAACGTAACACTGCTCCCGCATTTTGGAGTATTCCCAGAAGCAGTTGCAACGAAAGGATCTTTGATCTGAGGTGATGCGACCTGCGAAAACCCTAGACACCTTACAAACATGTTTCTCATATGTTTTGTTTGGTTTATTCTATGAATTATGCATAAACATACTTAGGATCGAGATTACCATCTGGAAGAGGTTTCATGGAAAGTTTGCAGAGTGCTCTGAAGACCAAGAAAGCGTCCTTTTGTAAGACATGAGTGAATTTTGCTCTGACCATGTTGTCGCTTTCCGCGACAGCTTCATCTGAGTTGTCGTCCATAGGCACTTGGTCTAAGCTTGTCTCTTCTGAAATTATTGTTGTTGCACTGGTTGTATCCTCTGGTACCACGGAATTTACTACATCCTCTAAAATCCCTCTAACGATTAAGTGCGGTTCTTGGTTATTTTCTGTTGTGGTTTCCTCATTGTTCATTGCCTCTGTTTCCAGCTCTCCAGTAGAAGTACAGTTGGTAGTATTGACAGAGGTTTCTGTTTGTTCCATTTCATTTTTAATATTCTCCTCTTCCTAATAAGAAAAAGTAGAAGGTATTCTTAGAAATTCAAATTCAAGAGAGATAAATTAAAGATATGTTCTTTATAAATTGTAGACTCACTGCTTGTGTTTCCATTCGAGCAAAAATAACATTGATCATCTGGGTGAGAGTAGCACGAGCTGTGGTTTGATTAACCAGATTTTTGGAGGCCAAATAAACGCTGTAAACAATTCGTATAGCAAGAAGCACTGTACCCTCGTGCACTTCGACATGTTGACTGGTCATTACTGTGAGAAGCGCCTTTATAATTTGTAGCTGAACACCCTCATCTGTTTGAGGTCCTATGAAACACCCACAGATTGTTTCGACAATCCGGACAATCAATAGTTTATTTGGCTCAGTGGAGTCAGGTACATTTCCAGTAAGATGGCCATATGCAATTAATTTCTGCAGGCAATCCAAAGCAGTGACCACAATCCGTGGTGACTTGCTATGGCAGGCCAATTCGAATGGTAGAAAATATTTTTCTGCAGAAATGACATAGGAATCACTGCGAGGCTGAGGCAGTGCAGTTGAAACCTGAGTGCCTGACACTTCTTTGATCTCATTCCGCAGATTATCTGAAAATTAAGGTATAGGTTTTGATTCTAAAAGAATTATTTACCCTCTATGCATCAAGGATGCTTGCAATGAAGCAATCTGGTTCAATAATAAAAAAGTAAAAATAGATTAGAGTGAAGTACAATGTGTATCTGTTACTAGCATATATTAATTAGCTATTATTCTCAAGTGCATATATGTGTGTATTTAATGTGCTAAAATGAAGAAAGACTAATCAGCATTGATTCATACAATGAACAAGCTTTACTTTCTCAAATAATTCAAATTATATTTAAGTATCTATGAATTAAGAACAGATTGAAATGATGTAATGTATTAACCGGCATATGAATTTAATTCAATTACATTCTCACTGTGAAGTCCAATAAATGCTATCAATTGCAATACGTAACATCTTTCAATTCCCATTACTAAATGAAATAACATAGCTAACAAATTCCCAAGAATATACATCCGATACAGTGTAATCTTAATTCTTCACCTTTCAATGCAACCGAATCTAAGGTCAACGAAAAGATAATTGCCAATCAATGATACAAAACTAATAAGGATCCTACTGATCGTTTCGTTTCTTATCGAAACGTTATTCCTCAGGAATTACAAACGATACTCTAAACCTGTAATAGTAAACTCATAGCTTGAAATTGATTTGCATCTGTGAGTACATGATGAGCTTGCTTCTCGATTCCCATTGAAGGGGTAACAACAAGCGAAGAGGAAGACCAACGAGGATGATTACCAAGTGCGGTCTCGCAGGATTTTCTAAGCTGAGAGAGGTGCGACCGTTTGACATCCCGGTCAGCCAGGATTTTCTCTAATGCTCGGATGATGAACATTTCTTTGGAGTTATCTTGCATCGTCACCGGGCCAAGCTCAGTCCTTCGCTAGGCTGGCACGGGTGAACACGCGGCTCGTTTCGAGGCACGCATTTTCACGACCGTGACTTCCGTACCGGTGTTTTGTGCATCGTTTACGATCACCTCCCGGAGGTGGGAACCACCACCTCCTCCTCCTCCTCTTGCTCCTCCTCCTCCTTCTACTCCTCAGCCACTAGCAGTCTCTGTAGCACTGACAACGACACTCTGGACGAAGAATTCCGGAATCAACGAATAGTCACTGATCAAGAATGTTTCTTCAACGTTTTGTCACAGTGTTACATGTCGGATCATACTTCACGGAGTAACGTAAAACGACGATGAAATAGTGAAAATGACATTAGCTTCTTGAAACAGCAAAGGAACCAGAAGAGACAGTGCCAGACGACGACGGTAATCCGTGCGATCACTGTGACATCTTGCCAGCCAACGTAGAACCTTTTTCTTAAGGTAAGGCCAACGTATGCGTTTCCATGTGTGCGATAAATTAATTTTCAATTTAATTAACTTTTAATTCTGTAATTTTTGTATGGAAAGAATAGTTAATGATTTTTCAAACGATTCTTATCGATTACCATCTCTTATACTTATTTACTTACTAGACGATGATGAATGATAATTGTCTTAACTCGTTTATATACGAGTATAAGATAAGAATATTTTGTTTTCGTTTTTGTAAAATATTTTTGTTTACTGTCGCTTAATTATTGTAATTCAGTTCATTATAATTATCATCTTAATGCACCTTTATCCCTGTGAAACCTAACGTTTGGCTCCATCTGTAAATATTTGCTGAACTAAATTCAAAATTTACAAATTGTTAACGAAGTTTGATCAGCAACGAGGATTTGACCGTTACTTCTAATTATGAATTGGTTCGTTTATTTATTATAACAGGTAACATTGTTGATACGTGCAACTCCTTGTATTCGTTTAACGATGGAGGATTCCATCACTCTTGATGAACTTCTGGAAAAACGATGCGATAAATTACAATGTCTGGAAATCACAACGGTATTATTTAAAAGTATGACTGAATTTTATATTTATCATGTAACGTATTTAAACAATTTCTTACGTTATATATACTTGTACTTTGGAAATATAGCGACTACTTGTATTGCTTTCTTTGCATTAACTTTAATCTTTCTTTTTCAGGTAAGGATGCAGTTAAAGAAGACCTTTTTAAAATTAGCACCAATGTAACCCAAATATCTGATGGCGTCAATGAATTAAGAGAAGAGTTGAATAAAATGAGGGATCAAAATAATCAATGTCGGGTAAAAATTAAAAAATTGTGATTTTTGCCCATAATAATATCATTTTCTTTATTCGAGCTTATTTAAGTAATTATAATTTGTAAACATAGCACTTTTTCTACGTGTTGTAAATAATTTTAGGAATTGTTACTGATGATACAAGAATTGAACAATAAAATTGTTCACATGGAAAAAAATATTCCACCTCAATTAATACGTAGCTTCAATGATGGTGAGAACGAGTTGGGTTCTGTTCTGAAAGAAATATTGTCAATTAATGAAGAGGTAGCAGTAGAGAGTGATGTAAAGATTCAAAAGAAAACTCCAGTAAAGGATTGCAGACAAGTTTTGTATAAGGAACCTGATGTTTATCCAACAATTCGTTTAATAACACAGGACGAATTCAATACTATTCCAAAGTATATTATTGGAAGACAGTCTCTGGATGCAGTGAATAGTCTGATAAATTCTATTAACCAGATTTTAAAAGCAAAATATACACTTTTAGCGATGGGGAAAGTACATGCTAGAAAACAAGATAATATAAGTCTGTATCTTCATTATAAGAAGCAAGATTTAGATATTTGTACTGATAATGGTAAGATGTTTGTATAATATTTAATTTTGAAATATAAGAAACTAAATTATATTATTTTCCAGAGTATATATATTTTTTCACTGATGAGGATTACGAATTGCATACCAAAACCAAACTTAATAGAACTAAGTTAAACCTAATAACCGTTCTAAGACACTGTAAAAGATTGAGGGAACACAGGGCAAGGAATAATTTGCGATATGTTGTAATAATAGATTGAAATACTTAAAGAACATATATGTAAGAATATATATATATATATATATAAGAGAATGATATAATTATGGGTACACCAAAAATATATTAAATGCAATTATTAAGAATAAGAACAGAAAAATATTTGTTATAAGAATATGTGTAATGATCTATTAAGAATTTAGTAGGATAGAAAAAATATTACATTGAATCTGTATTTTTCTTTACCCGAGCGTTTATTAAATTGAAAATATTAAGGTCTAAGATTCGCTTTTGTTTCGGTTGTCCTGACAGCGTGTTTATCGGAAATGCAACTGCTAAAAAAAGTGGCTCCTCATTGAATTGTTTTCTAACATAAAGATTGAAGTTGAGTTTGCCATGAAAGAATCTTTACCTTATTATTTCCAAGGAACGAGGTAATCTACTCTGACATACTTCTCGATCATGCACTCTGCGTTTCGATCCGCTCGTGGGAAACAGACAATAAAACTCATAAATTTTGTATCATTTAACAATAAAAATAGTCGTTTAACGACCAAGTAATGAAGAATGAAATTTAAAAATAATAAATAAAATCATTAACGACACATTTTAAAATTATATGAAATACAGAAATTATTATTAGGGATGTAGATATAACACCATTAGTAGAATATGACTAACTTTTTATTTCTGATGTTATATTTCAGATAAATAAATATATAGTTTTACAATATGAATATTGAAAGGGCAGAATCAATTAGCACATTAAGCGAGCATGAAAATGAGCTTGATGATTTTGAAGGCTCAATTATTTGGTCGCAGGATGAACCACTATCTGCAAATGAGATTTTAGAATTTACTCCTGATTCTGAAAACCAAAATCATTTGAAATCACTCTGTCGTTTATGTGCAGGAGAGACCACTAATCCTGTATATATTTACTCAGAATTTGGAGAGTCTTTGAGGCTTTTGGATAAGATAAATACATGCCTAAGTATTAAGGTGTTAAGTCTACATTGAATATTCTCTGTTTTCATTACTCTTCATTTTACAAATATATATGACTTTCAGGTGAAAAAAACCGATCCTCTACCAAAACAACTCTGTCCAACATGCGTTGAAAAGATTACTTGGTGTAACGAGTTTGATGCTCAATGTATCAGAGCTGAGGAAACTCTCGTTGAAATTCTTAAGCAGAAACATTCTTTTCTAAGTACTAAAACTGATGAGAATTCTTTGGAGAATGCTCATTCATGTCCACTATGCGTTGAAGGACGAATGAAAATTTTTGAAGAGTATAAAGAGAACCAAAAAGATTCAGATTTGTATGATAGTGACATCGTTCTCGATAGTAGCGATGAAGAACAAATTCCAAGCGAGCTTAAGGCTGATGATGAAACCGAAAATGGAACCATAACGTTGTTTTGCTTAGGAACCAAACAAAAATACTTGAAGTGCGGTGCTTGTATGAACCTTTATCATACTAAAGAAACTTTAGACGAGCACAAATGTAAACCCAACTTACAGTGCACATCCAAGCCATATAAGTGTGATGTTTGTTTTGCCACGTTTACTTTTGAAGAACGATTGCAATTCCACCAACATTTTCACAAAGATGCGAAAGCACTATATTGTGAAATTTGCAAAATTACTTTTGGAAAGGAACTTAAATTATTTTATCATTATAAAAGGTAGAATCTGTAAGGGTATCCCATGTCAAATGTATTATCTTTTCCATTGACAATTATTTTATTGCAGGTACCATTGTAAAGATGGTAGAGTATCTTGTTTACAGTGTGGAAAATTATTTGAAAATCAAGATGGATTAAAGAAACACGTTTGCGTAGATGGTAAAACAAGACCTCATGTATGCGACGTGTGTTCTAAAGGATTTTGCGATGGGTGCGTATAATTTTCATATAAAGGAATCTCGCTTCATTTATTTCAGTTATTTTTATTTCAGGTATACTTTGAAACGTCATGTAGTAACTCATCTTCCAGAGAAGCCATACAAATGCCCTGAATGTTCAAAGAGTTTCACACAAAAATCAAGGTTGAATAAGCATGTAACTGGTCATAGTATTGTTTTAGAAAACAGTCAAACGATTTGGAGGTAACATATCTATATTATTAATAAATATATCTAAATAAATATTCTTAAATAATGTCTTCTGCATAAAGATGTGTTCGTTGTGGCGAAGCATTTGGATCTTTCGAGACCGCGGATGAGCATTGCAAAATGCATGATGAGAAAATCAGTCTTATCGAAGAGTTGCAAGTGTTGAAACTGTATCATTGTGAATTCTGCAGTAGCCACTTTGCAGATATGGACCATCTAAAGACTCATCATGAATCGCATATAATTGAGAAACCATATTCATGCAACCAGTGCAATTCATGGTTTAAATCTTTTGCAGAGGCTGTACTTCATTGGAAGGAACATCCGAGAATATTTAAAGTTTTAGTGGTATTCTTATGCGATGTATGCGATAGAGATGTTAAAGAATTGTCTTTGCTATACAAACACAAACAAAAGAGGCATCAGCCAGTAGCTAGAAAGTCGGAGAAAAACGAGAAAAAGTTCATTTGTGAGCTCTGTGGAAGCATTTTTGTAAGTGCAGAAGATTTTCAGGAACATGGAAAGTATAGGTGTTCCAAATTCCCTTGCGACATTTGCGGTAGTCTATTACCAACGGCAAATTCTTTGAATGCACATAAGAGAAGACACAGTGGACTTAGGCCGTATGTGGAACATTTCGTTTTACATAGTTTAGTGAAATTAATAACCTGCAAATAAATTGTTATTCCTATTTAGGTATGTCTGTAATATATGCGGGAAAAGTTACACACAGTCGAGTCATATGTGGACTCACAAAAGATTTCACATGGGCATTAAACCCTATGCATGCGAATATTGTGATCAGAGATTTACAATAAAGCCTGATCTAGCAGATCACACTAGGAAAAAGCATACCAGGGAAAGACCATTTAAATGTGATGTTTGCGATAAAGCTTTCTTGACTGGTTCTGTTTTCTATCAACACAGACTGATACATAGGGGCGACCGTAGATATAAGTGTCATTATTGTGAAAAGGCATTCACTAGGACAGAGGCTTTGAATAATCATATAAAGATTCACACCGGCGAGAAACCTCATGCGTGTGATGTTTGTGGGAGATGTTTCAGGCAAAAAGGCGACATGAGAAAGCACAGACGCACACAGCATATTGCTAAGCAAGATGCAAAGTAAATTAAAGTAGTATACTATTTCTGGTAAATTTGTATTCGTACACTGAATGGGAATAGGGTACTTCTATATGTAAATAATCAGTTCTAATAACATTATATGAATAATGATGAATAATGAAGACTTGTTGGAGGTAGTGATTTTTTAATAATATATCATACAATAATAGAATAACATTCTGTGAACGTATATCGTACATTAATAGTTTTACAACTGTTGCAGTGAAATTAATAAACTTTATATAAATAAACGAAGGTTAAAAATATAAGTATTGAATATAATTTTAAATATTGTACTGTAGAATTATTATTTCTATGGAATTCAATGAAATTCACAAGGTAAAAATAATTAATTAGAATTAATTTTGTAATGAAAAATGCTTCGTCGTTCAAACTTTAATCGAATTCGAAAAACGCGCAACAGCAGGTGGGCACAGGTGCGCAGAAGCAACACGTACAGAACAGGTGATACAACCGATGATCTCGTGATTTACATCACCGAACCTTACGGTTCTGGCAAGTTGCAATCGTCATTGATGAAAGATTGCATATGTCGACGAAAACCGACTGGAATATAATCAACACGATGACGAACGACAGATAAAGTAATTTCGAAAGGTGCTCAACGTACCTACGTGGTCCTTTGTAAGTCAGTGATGACACCTCACACCAGTTAATTTTTCTTTGTCTTCCGTAACAACGTCATTTTTCTCTTTAACAGGAAAATGAAATAATTTTTAACGGTTACGTCAATTTTATTAATGCGTATTTGAATTACTTTGCTAGATATTTCCATTTCTCATTATATTGACATGTACATAACCTAGTCGAATTTGACATATGCATTTCGTCGCGGTAAAAGGTGTAATCTTCAATTCCTCATGAGAGTATTTCCATTATTTAGGTAACAAGATGATTAACAATTATTTTCGAATTTGCTGTGTTTTAACATTTAATCGAAGCAGTATTTATTATTGTTTTGAGTGCTATACTTTTAGCTTGAAAGAATCAATGAGTTAAAAATTATATTCCACTGAAAGCGTGTACATTTTTCAGACTTTGAGCGCAGAATGGCATTTCCACCACTGGTCAGCTCTACGCCTCCTCCCTTGGATAATTTTGGGGATTCCGAGGAGGATGAATTTGGGGACTTTACCACTGGAGGCATAGACGGTACTTATTATATTTATATATAAATACGATACCTGTATAATTTTTGAAACTTTAATCACAAAAATTATATTTTAGGACTGTCTATGTCTTCCGATTCACCGCATAAACTTGTGACACCAATCCAAACTCCTTTACCATCTCACAATACTTCACCAAAATTAAATGGCATTTCTGAAACAGCTGAGAATAATTCACAACCAGTGTTAGTTTTAAGATCAACAATTTCAGAAGATCTCTTAATACTGGAGAAAACCGAAGACACTGTAAGTGATATTAAATTGAAAACAGAAGTTGAAACTATTAATGAAGTGAATAGCTGTAAGAAAAGCTTGGAAAATGTAAATAACAATGAAATTGAAAACAATGTAGAGAAGAGAGTTTTCAGTGAAGTTGGTTTAGTCAGTGAAAGTAGTAGCTTTGGAGAGAGCGAACAGGAAGCTTCACCTAATAATTTAGAAGATGTAGAACCTTTGAGTTTGGATTTAGGAGATCCGTCTGTTGCTCCTGACATAATTCAACCGTTAGATGATGATTTTTATGAGTACGAACAGTTTGAGGATTCTCAAAATTGGATTTCAAATAACGATGTGCCTGCAGACATTTCAAAACCAGATTACTTTGAATTCCATGAAACTGGTGGTGATATTTCAAATAATTTGAACAGTTTGAGCAAAGATTTTAGTATAGGTGATAAAAAGGATGTAAATTTAGAGTTTGAGAAATCGCTTGAACAATCAAAAGTAGAAGCTCAATGCACAGAACACCAAAATGTGTCTGATGAAGAAGACAACTTTGAGTTTCAAACAAACAATACAGTGTCCACGAATGTACAGCATTCACTGTTTCATGATTCCATAGAAGAAAACACTCTGAATGAAGGTGAATCGAGAGACGAGTTATCAGATAAAAATCAAGTTGAAGAAGAGAAAATTACTGAAGAATTCTACGAATATTCGGAGATTAAGCAAATTAATGTTGAAGACGATTTTCTATCTCCTGAATCACTGCCAGTTATTTCTAGGTGTTCGAATGAGGAATTCGGGAATTTCAAATGTGATTCCACAGTAGAGTCTCCTACTCGGATTTTTCAACTCGAAGTTCAGGATTTCCCCAACTCGACGGATTCAAATGAAAAGAAAAGCAATGAAGAAGTCGAAGACGATGATTTCGGTGATTTCACGAACTTCACCGATCAAACGCATTTTGAAAAGGTCGATGAAACAAAAGTATCTGATAAAGAGGAGGACGACGACTTTGGGGACTTCAATGACTTTGAATCAGCATTTCAACAACCAGAGGAGGAGCATGCACCATTGAACTTGAAAGAATCAATTTCTCGAATAGAAAACAAGCATGTGAGTATCTTTATTTGCTGTTCTTCTTTTACAGTATCTGTAATTAATTATAAATATATTTTGTACAGGCTGCTAATAAAATAGAAGACATAATAACGACAATGTTTCCGACAGGCACGGAACAGTGCGAAATCGAAGTACAGTCGTTGATAAGTCAAGCAGACAAAGTATGGCAAAGTATTAAAAGCGTCGAAGAAACAAATGCATTAACATACCAGTGGGCAAATAGTACTAGCAACAACGTACTCTTAAATTCCCTTGGCATTGATTCTCGTAACATTGTAAGTAATATTCAAAACTAATGAATATTTCAAAATAACAGTACAACATTTTCAGTTATTTGGTCCAAGATGGAACCCGAATGTACCAAGATTCGCCGCGAATCTTGGATTCACACCATTGGAACCAATTAAAGCTACAGCTGACACTCAACCTGCTGTCACAACAAATACAAGCAAATGTCAAAGTTCAAATAATTCAGAAGTAAGTGTTCAGTTTACATTTATCTCTGTAATTCCACTGTTTCATTTATAATTAATAATAAAAAAAAAATATCCCATTAGGAAGTACCTGCCGCCCAATTCGATTGGAATAGTTCTGGGCTTGTTAATCCTTTAGAAGCTAGTAAGTATCAAATGCAACGTACGCTGGTGTTGTCATTTTATTTTGATTCCA